TATTTATTTGGACAATTGAATTGTGACTTAACGCTCTAAAGAACTCATTCATCGATAAGCTCGAAAGTTCTGGGTTCATAACCGCATAGGGATTTTGTCAAGATACTACTGACGAATTTCGTAAAGAGGCAAAACACCTGTTCACTGTTTATTTTTGCTTTAATTTTACCCAAATTATAGCAGTCAGTGGTAAGTACCATCCGAAAATACAGTTATTCTTCCTTACAATTCTGAACAATAATACTCTTACCAAATTTAATTTCTTAATAGAAAGTTCAACATAAATATTCTGTTTATCGGACATAGTGTTATCTAAGCTGGATCTTTGGTTACCTCAGAAACTACATTTCCTACACCCTCACGCTACGCTACATCATCATATTAAAGCATGAAGCTTTTTTTGTTTTATGGCTATTTCCACACAATTTACCTAAAGGAACTCCTCTACAAAGCTGAATTTATTTAGATCAACTTCAGAACGCAAACATATTTATCTAAAGGAGTTATATTCAAGCTCTGTGTTTACCTTGGTTCATAAATGGATCGCCAGATACCTAAACTGGATATATTCAAGCCTTACCACCTCCTAATTCCTTTTTTGTTTATATCTGCCCTGTCTTTCTTAATCTACACATTCGTCCTTTCTTATTTACATGAATTTCTAACTACACTTACCTTCAATTGAAATCATGAGTGAATGTTAGACCGCCATCGAAAACCTGGAGATTCAACAATCTCCACAACCCTATACTCGTATTCAGTTTAACAGGATCTTCTTTATACATATTATATTTATATATTCTTATTACTTTTATCTCCACTATCAGGATGCAATTCTCTACCCGTACTATACATTTTACTCTGTCATTAATATATTGGTTCTAACTTGATACCTTCATAAATGACCATTCCGATTTACAATTTACGCTACTTTAATATATTTATTCTGTAACAATTGCAAAACTTCACTATTTTTTTTAACAAAAAATAATGGTATCAGAAGGGGTTTTTGTGGATACTATAGTAATTTTAATAACTCCGCCTGTAGCTCTTCCAGAGTTACTGCCGGTCCTAAGCCCGGGTAAAAGAGGAGGGTTGGGCATGGGGTTAGCGTCCCCATCCCGTAGAAAACTAACTCGCTAAAAAAACGCTTACCAGAAAAAATTATTCAAACCATTTAAACTCTGCCCTGGGAGTTAGAAGGTCTTCAGTTAGAAGAATTATGACGCTTCATGGTGAAAGCCGAGTTCCTTCGGAAGCCACGAGGCCGATGCCCCTTCTAACAACCAGAGCAAAAATTTTTATAGGTACATGGAACGTTCGAACAATGTGGGAAACCGGGAAGACCAGTCAAATAGCAATGGAAATGAGGAGATACAACTTAGCAGTACTGGGAATCAGCGAAACCCACTGGACCCAAGCTGGACAGAAAAGGCTAGCTACGGGAGAGATGCTGCTATACTCCGGTCACGAAGAGGACAATGCTCCACACACTCAGGGAGTCGCTCTTATGCTGTCCAAAGTAGCACGAAATGCACTTGTAGGATGGGAGTCTCACGGATCCAGAATCATCAAAGCATCATTCAAAACAAAGAAGGAGGGGATCTTAATGAATATTATCCAATGTTATGCACCCACCAATGATAGCAACGACGACATTAAAGATCAGTTCTACGAGCGGCTGCAGTCAATCATTGAGAAATGCCCAAGAAAGGACCTAACTATTCTGATGGGAGATCTAAATGCCAAAGTCGGAATAGACAACACTGGATATGAAGATATTATGGGACGACATGGACTGGGACAGAGAAACGAAAATGGAGAAAGATTTGCAAATCTATGTGCATTCAACAAATTGGTCATAGGAGGCACAATATTTCCACACAAGCGTATACACAAGGCTACATGGATCTCACCGGACCACACTACAGAGAACCAAATAGATCATATTTGCATCAACAAAAAATTCCGAAGGACAATGGAAGATGTGAGAACCAGGAGAGGTGCTGACGTAGCTTCAGATCACCACCTAGTTGTAGCCAATTTAAAACTGAAGCTGAAAAAGAACTGGACAAGTGGACAAACAGCACTACAAAGGTTCAATACAGCCTTCCTTCGAGATACTGACAAACTCAATGAATTCAAGATAGCTCTCAACAACAGGTTCCAAGCCTTACAAGATCTACTGAAAGAAGAAGAAACTAGTATGGAGGACAACTGGAAAGGCATCAAGGAAGCATTAACTTCAACGTGTCAAGAGGTTCTGGGCCTAAAGAAACACCATCATAAGGAATGGATCTCTATAGAAACACTGGACAAGATCAAAGAAAGGAAGAACAAGAAGGCAGCAATTAACAACAGCCGAACACGAGCAGAGAAAGTCCAAGCACAAGCTGAATACATAGAAGCAAACAAACAAGTGAAGAGGAGCATTAGAGCCGACAAGAAGAAATACGTGGAAGAACTAGCAACGACGACAAAAAATGCTGCAAGAGAAGGAAATATGAAACAGCTTTACGATACAATGAAGAAACTAGCAGGCCAATCACTGAAGTTCAACGACACCGGAACAAATGGGTAGAGTACTTCGAGGAACTCTTGAATAGGCCGGCTCCAATGAATCCAACGGACATCGAAGCAGCACACACAGATCTTCCCATAGATGTCAATTTACCAACGACGGAAGAAATCAAAATGGCCATCAGACAAATGAAGAGCAAGAAAGCAGCAGGACCCGACAACATACCAGCTGAAGCACTGAAGTCAGATATCGAAGCAACTACAAACATGCTTCACTTTCTATTCAAAAAGGTTTGGAAGTAGGAACAAATGCCGATGGACTGGAAACAAGGTCACCTCGTCAAGATTCCAAAGAAAGGAGATCTGAGCAAATGTGAAAACTACAGAGGCATTACACTACTGTCAATACCAGGGAAAGTCTTCAACAGAGTGTTGCTGAACCGGATGAAAGATGCAGTAGACGCCCAACTTCGAGATCAACAAGCTGGATTCCGTAAGGATCGGTCGTGCACAGACCGAAATGCAACACTACGGATCATCGTCGAACAATCAGTTGAGTGGAACTCATCACTATACATCAACTTCATTGATTATGAAAAGGCATTTCACAGTGTGGATAGGAGGACATTATGGAAACTTCTTCGACACTACGGAGTTCCTGAGAAGATTGTCAACATTATCCGGAACTCATACGACGGACTACAGTGCAAAGTAGTGCATGGAGGACAGCTGACAGATGCATTCCAAGTAAGGACCGGAGTCAGACAAGGCTGTCTACTCTCTCTCTTCCTCTTTCTTCTGGTGGTCGACTGGATTATGAAGACCTCGACATCTGATGGAAAACACGGAATACAATGGACAGCTCAGAATCAATTAGACGATTTGGACTTCGCAGATGACCTAGCCCTCCTATCACGTACACACGAACAGATGCAGATGAAGACAGCCAGTGTAGCAGCAGTCTCTGCATCAGTAGGCCTCAGCATACACAAAGGGAAAACCAAGGTCCTCAAATTCAAGGCGGAGAACAGCAATCCAATCACTCTTGATGGCGAAACTCTGGAAGATGTAGAGTCCTTCACATACCTAGGAAGCATCATCGATGAACAAGGAGGTTCAGATGCAGACGTAAAGGCGAGGATTGGCAAAGCAAGGGTCGCATTCCTACAATTGAAGAACATATGGAACTCAAAACAACTTTCAACCAATATCAAAGTGAGAATCTTCAATACGAATGTCAAGGCAGTTCTACTGTACGGAGCCGAATTTTGAAGAACTACAACAACCATCATCAAGAAAGTACAAGTATTTATAAATAGCTGTCTACTCATGATACTCAACATCCACTGGCCGAATACCATCAGCAACAGCCTTCTGTGGGAGAGAACAAACCAGCTTCCAGCTGAAGAGGAAATTCGGAAAAGACGATTGGAATGGATAGGACATAGATTACGCAAATACTCAAACTGCATCACGAGGCAAGTCCTAACTTGGAATCCTGAAGGAAGGCCAAAAAACACATTACGTCAGGAAATAGAATCAGATATGAAAAGGATGAATAGGAACTGGAAGGGATTGCCCAGGACAGGGTTGGATGGAGAATGCTGGTGAGCGGCCTATGTTCCTTGACGAGGAGTAACAGGCGTAAGTAAGTAGTAAGTAAGCTCAGCATAGTCATCGACACTACACCATGTTTATCCAGTATATGTCACACTAAATTATTGGTAGGACGCGAACTGTCCATGTATCTATTCGGAAGTAAGTGTACTGGTGTCTTGAATGAAACGTAATTTAAGTATAAATGAGTATATTTAAGCAAATCATAAGAAACTGTAAGTACAACGAAACCGTAAACAAAACAAAACAATTACATCACATTCATCATGTCTGGAAAACATGACAAAAACAGATCACATTCAATCATTAACACATGAATCTCTTTGATTATCATAATGGTTTGAGTCTTTTGTGAAATGAATATAAGTAAGATAATTTCACAGATTGAAATCATGATTCAGTTGAAGCTAGACCACCACTGAAAACCTGGAAGCACTGGACGGCCGTTTCGTCCTAGTATGGGATTCCTCAGCAGTGCGCATCCACGACCCCGCACCACGCAGGGCTCGAACCCAGGACCTACTGGCTTCGCGCGCGAGAACTTAATTACTAGACCACTGAGCCGGCATCCAACGGTGTTAATGTCTAATTTCAACCAATCCACGAAGGACGAAACGGCCGTCCAGTGCTTCCAGGTTTTCAGTGGTGGTCTAGCTTCAACTGACTCATGATTTCAATCTGTGAAATTCCTAAAATCCCCACAAAACCCATTCTGATAAGTAAGATAACTCTAACCAGTTCGATAATTCATAGAAAATAACATTACAGAATATCTTGGAAAAATCTATGAATCATACATTAAATGTCTCATTTACAAAATATTCATCAATAGTTTTAGACTTTATTATTCCTTCGTTTTGTAGGGCCAGTGAAATTCAACTGAGCCGTAGCCAAATCATCCTGCAGTTGGCTCACTGATTATCGAACAAATCATCGATCCCCGTCAAGGTCAAGCACGCATCAGTTAATCGAATGCCATGGGCTGAGCCATGCGGTAATGGTCTTACGTTCGATTGTATCTACTTTAACTAATATATTTCTGTAACAACGTCCTCTGTGTTGTACAGTCTTTAAAGCACCTATGGTACATTGATACGTTAATGGGGTAGTCCATGTAAGGTGCTGACCACGAGGTGTAACTTCAACGTTAGCTAGTTTGTCACACCATTCACGTCTAACTTGAGTAGGCCTTCAATCATTTCGACATAGATCATCTACATTGGTGATCTACAGTTTCTATACCAATCACTCTTTACTTTCATTCTTTTCTCTTTGATTGACTTAATCTTTTGCCTTCAAACATTCCACATACTACTTATATATATGTCAACATCAGTAGTATACACTACAACAACTTTTCAAAAGACATAAAATATTATGTTTTCGAATTATGAATAAATAATTTTGATTTCATTGGTTGTCTAAGTAACGAAAACTATCATGGTAACTAAGATTAATTAGGTGATCATAAGGACATATGTCTGTGTTTACACAACAACAAAATCGATTATTTTCGACTGTACACAAAAATTGTTTTTTTTTCAATAAAACTATCAAATAATAAATTTATTCAATGAATATAATTAGAATTTAATCGATGTAAAGGTAGTCTGTGGAAATTGTTATATCCCGATGAGAATAATGAATGGTAACTGTTGGGATCTATTCATGAACAAACACTATACATATAGTTTTTATTGTATTATTTTGTTAAATAACTAAACTATTTATGTTCCTCATATTATGAGCTTTATTTTAACTATAGACTGAAGATGCCACAGGTATTCGGAGTTTGACAACGCTTTAACCAGTAAAAACCTTCTCTAATATGAATCGTACCCACCAAGTAAAATCAAAAGACAGAAGCGAGGAGGTTCGAAGATATATTCGACATGCTATCAATATATTGAGGATCGTCTGATCTAATCTGGCTAGCGGTTGCAGGGGTTATTGAGCACGGCGTTCTCACTCGTTATCTGGTGCGGATGCATGACCGAGCGCCTTCAGCTAGGTGAGTCCATTAAAACTAATGTGGTCAGCATCCAATGTCGAAAACTTACAGAGCTATTATTTTGGGGATTTATTTACAGCTACAAGACTATTATTATACGATTTATCATTCCTCAGTTATGCCCTGTCTATTAATTACAATCTCCTACATTCACAGACACATTTGGCCAAAACTTGTACAAATGTTATTTTTTATTTTATGGTACAATGTTGTCTGTTTCGTTGGTATATAAACCCAGTATGTTTGAAATATAATGATTCATATTGCAGAGGCTCGGATTGGTGTTCTGGACTTAATAGGCAGGGTTGGGAAGGAAGAAGGACCGATAAGGACTCTTGACTACTCGTACGGCTTTTACGCGTCATTGGTCCAGTTGATAACTCACTATTCTCTAATTAGCGGTATCATTACGTTCTGTATATTAATAGGAGCAGAAGGCCACAAGTTATAACAGTAACGAAAGAGATATACTCTTTATTTCTAAAGTTATCTGTTAAAATAGTGTTTTGGGCATATTTTAATTAAATGTAATAAACTGAATAGAAAATCTCTCTTGTTTTATTGAAACAACAACTGTCTAGTGCTTCCTAGTTTACATGATTGTCAATGATCAATTCGTAATGTAAACTATAAAACTCAACAGTCTATATTAACTTCTTAGTATTTGAATGAATATTTTGTAAATCAATAATACTGTTAAATGTCTGATAAGTACTCAGTACTTGCACAATGACTTTACCTTTCAATAAGTAAACAGTTAAAATTCGGAATAAGGTTTGTAGGTCACCAACGTAGATAAGTGCAGGACTACTCGAGTTAGACGGGGGTAGTGTGACGAACCAGCTAACTACGAAGTCACACCTCATGGTCAACATCTTACCTGGATTACTCCTTCGATGCATGAAGATACTATAGCTTCTTTGAAGACCGTATAACACAAAAGATGTTATTAAGGAATATATTACTAAGATTGGGTATAGAGAAGATAGTGATACCACCACGGCATGCGCCAGTTCATGACATACGATCAACTGATGTGCGTTGGTTGTCTTCGACCTTGACAGGGATCAACATTCTGTTGGATATTCAGTGATCTAACTGCCGGATGATTTGGTCAGGGTTCAGTAACACTTCACTAATCCTTCAGGTTCTAGGAAATAAGTATTCTTTCAACCGAATTGGTTAAGATTCGAAGATGTAGATGATAACGAATGAATACACTGAAGTCAGTGTTATAACATCGGAAATCAATAACTATAAATATCAATTTTCATGTAGATCTCAATAAAAATACAAATCAATTAAATAGTCATGAAATTCAATAACTAAAGTACTTTCATTCTTGTGATAATCAAATTTTCATAAATAAGTGAAGATAACATGTGATTAGAAGGAATACAATACAAGTTCTTCACTTATAAGAATTTAGTACTCAGAGAAATTTGAAAAATTAATGCTTTAAGAAATCATAAATGGTGGTTAGCAGTGGAATACTAGATGTGAGTTTCGTCCAATTTGGGAATCGTTAGCTGGATGTACCTGGATCCTAAAGTTGATGTTCATGCTGGGACTCAAACTCAGTACCGTTCGCTTCGAACGCCGTCACATTATGCACTTAGCTACCGAGTCCTGTTAGCCACTTGCTTGTGCAATATGGTGAAGTTTAAATTCACATGGTATTGATTACTTGTATCTTCCCATGGATGTTTAGGACTACAAACATTCAGTCTGTTGTTGGCATATTTTCATCCTGTGTGTATTACCTTGATATTGTCTTAATTCACAAGCATTATAAACAAGGATGGATAATGGCTAGCAATATCGTGGCAATCCTCCACGGGATACACATATATGCCAATCAAGTGAATTTACAATTATTATTCAAATGTATATTTTGTTTTAATTATACATATTTAGAAACTTAAATCAACATCATAAGATCATTGAATATGAACAGTTAACTTGAATCATATGATGAGTGTCATATAAGGAATCACTAATTAACTAGTCAATTTCTAATAATTTATAGAGTTACCCATTAATTTTCTTTGTTTCTGTTTTGTTTAAATGCACCACTACTGATCAGTGTTATGTAAGGATTGAAATTTCTAGACAAAATTTAATTTTTTTTTGAAAGAAAATTAAGAGCTCCCAAATGCCCTGGTACGATCAAGGGTAGGTAGAGTCAATTCTCCTTCGCGAAATACTTTCACATGGCCAAGCGTATACAGCTACCGACAGGGAAGTCCTACTTATTACCTTCTTGTAACACGGGTGTTTTTCTCGAAATTAAGAGGACAAGTATCGAATATCCGGCGCTTTAACCGGGTTAGTGGATATGAAGGATCCATCTAGAGTAGTTGGACATACTGATTCCAAAGCAATGGTGCCCATAGGCCCCAGTATCGTGAGGGAACAATTGGAGTATCAACCAATCGTTGGTCACCGGCTACCATGAGAGTGCATCCCTGACGTTCCTCCATTGCTTGTGTACCAGATCTTTAAGTCGAAGGCTCCGAGTGTGGTCCCCTATGAAAACCATCTGCTCTGGTTCGGGCATCCGATCAGTATTCTAGCCATCACACAAACCGAGTGGTTTATGTGGCGCATATTTATAGTTGATGCCCCTTTGTACTAAGGTTTACGTGTCTAAACAACAATAATGGTGGATGCACACTGCTGAGGAGCCCCACAATAGGACGAAACGGCCGTCCAGTGCTTCCAGGTTTTCCATGATGGTTTAGCTTCAATTGACTCATGATCTCAACTGTTGAAATTACTACAATCTCCACAAAACCCCTCCAGAATTCTATATTCATTTATCTTATTTTGTACAGATATATGGAAAGGGTGATCCATCATTATAATATCTGAATTTTTCTTTTGAAAACATCTTGTATGTGATTTTTTTTTAATTTTAAAAGTTGTCAGTTAAAGAAATGGTTGACAATGTTGAAGTTTTACAATAAGCATATGGTTCGATTTAGAATTTTACTTTATATGCATAAACATTTGATTATTGTTGACACCCACATAATTAATCACATATAATTGTCACTAATACTAAGCAGATGATTCTCGTGTGTACACGTATAGGTAAACCGTAGTAAAAAAGTATATACATACATCTTGCGTTAAAATTGCTTTTTATCTTAGATATTGAAAAATGTAACTTATAGGAATAAGATGGTTTCACAAGTGTGTGTGTGTATTGTGTTATGGTGTATGCTACATATGTTTTATTGATATAAGTAGTATGTAGCATTAATCAGAAGTGGTGGAATGCATGACAGTAGAAGATTGATTGTGAATAATAACATAGAGTAATTGTAATAGCAATCATGAAACAATGGAGTTTGAGATAATTGATCTAAGATTTGAAAATCAAATATGTAATGTATAGTTCTTGACACTTTTACGAAAGAACTCTGTAACTTTGCGTTGAATCATATATATTGGTTGTTCCAACCTGAGTTCTCGTTTACAACAGTGTAATTAGTACTATATCTAATAAAAAACAGTACTTGGTAAACACATATCAGGCTGCTTTGAATGATAACAATGTGGATTCTTTCTAAATATTTGTTTTTTCTGAGCTTGAAGGACACAATTCATCATTTTAAAAGTCGTATACCACTAGAAACACGATAAATTGTCAGTACAATAAAACACGACACTATTCTATTGAGAAGGTAACCTTCAACATGGAGATAAATCTACTTTGACTGTTCTCGACTTAGTAGTTTTTATAGTGATAATCCACTCAGTCATCTGAGATGTCTGACTATAGTAAGTATTTTAACTAGATTGTAAATTCCTGTGAGAGTTTTACTTGTTTATATGACACGAAAGACTGTAATATAAGTGAAACTATATTATGTAATTTTTTAGTATGCAGATATATTACGGAAATTTTAAAAACACAGAGTTCAGCCAAGGGATCTCTTTTCAACGAATTTATTATCAAGCTGTACAACCGTACATATATGAAATTTTTTTTAAAGTACTAGTTCTGTGAGGAAATGTGAACAAGGAATAACCAAGATGACGTAAGAGATTGTAACACTAGATAACTGAAATGTAAAAAGAACAATAGACTTTATATGATGGCAACGAATTATAACGTGAAGGCAGTGAGATGAAAATATTATTCAAGGAGTATAAACTAGCGAAATAAGTCTGGAAAGAGAAAAAGAGAAGGGATATGAAGGATTTAGAAGATTAGAGTTTGGGAAAACACAAAGAGTGGATGAACATGCGCCATTGCAAACCATTTTCAGCCATGTCATTCAAGATCTCTAACCATCGGTTGCTATCGTCTCACGGATCCCAGAAACAGGTAGTCTACACCTACCAACATGGCTCAGTCCACTTGTCAGTCACTTCATGGATTTGTGCGATGTTTTGGTCTGACCGCCACTAACTTTCTTCCAACCTACTCCCAGACCATAAAACACTGCACGTCGGTGGTTGGGCATACGTAACACATGTCCCAGCTATCACAACTGGAGTTTCACTACTTCATCAATTGATTTGCCATCCTTACCTAGTACTCGTCTCCTGACAACTGTATTACTTACTCGATGGTACCAGGACATACGAGCAATGTTTCGAAGACACCCATGATCGAATACTAATAACCTACGAATATCTTCTACACTTACCCGGCCATGTTGCACTGCCATGAACTAGGACGGAACGAACTGCTGCGCAGTAAACCCGTCCTTTGGTTGATAGACGGGGATCTCGCCTACGCCATAAATGACACAAGTTGGCGAAAGCTAGTCAAGCCTTCTGTATCCGTGTGAGATTTCGTAGCACACCAAACCACAAACGCCGATGAGGAATTCTTTCGTATATAACTGAGTGACAGGTTTATGCGTTAAGTATGAAAATGCCATACACTAGTTGTTTAATAAATTCACTAGCCAATGTTCTACTTACTTTCTTCATATTTATATTAACGCCATAAAGTACTTTGTAATTGGACATACCTGATAAGGAACTACTACCTGGGTTAGTTAAGAGAAGCGCTATCGGACAAATATTTAAGAATGGTCGGTACACTAATTAGGAACGATTCACAAAATTATTATGACTAGTCTTATGTAATATGAGTACAATAAACAGATAGATGATACTGTTGACAACTGATCACACTCCAGTGAAATTATTTGTACTATACTACTCTAATAAATGTTCATTTGATATAAATAGTTCCCAAACAAGGTTAGCGCTTTGATCATAAGCTATCGTTGAAAATCCTAATTGGTGTAATCTAAAATTGACCATAGAAAATAAATCCAATTTTTTCTCTCGAAGTGTATATACTTCATGCTTATAAGCAAAGATGGATAGTGGCTAGTAGTGGAATCATGGTCGTGAGTTTCGTCCTATTTGGGACTCGTCAGCTGAATGTACCTTCATCGAAGTGTTGATGTTCACTCTGGAACTCGAATCCAGTACTATTTGCTTCAAATGCTATCGCATTATCCATTTAGCTACTGATTTCTGACTTCAAACAATATCGACGTAGTCCGCATAGGATGCACATATGCCAAAAAGAGACTGATCAATTGCAGTCCTAAACATCAATGGGAGATATAAGTAAAACAACACCAAGTGAATAGTTCATGTTTAGTTTCTTAATTTTCATGTATGTTTCTTTCAGTTCATTTTGTTATGATGTTAAGTACAACAACTTTAAACAATGACTATTATGGATAAATGTTAAACTATTTAAGAACTTATTTAACAAACTTATCATACCATCTAATTCATATTAAAAACCTTTAATACGAAAGAAAGAAAAAAAAACACAAACAAATATCGTTATTCCGAAGAAAAAAGAACAGAATCAATCTGAAAGGTTAACTCTCTCTTTTTTTTTGCAACTGGAAACCTTTTTTCGCTTCATTTAAACGTTTTCTTTTGATGTTTTTTTTTTCAAAACAACAACAACAATAATAATAACAAGAACAACAGTAAAGACAATAAGTAAACATTAGTCGAAAGACTGAAACTACTTATGTATAAAGAAGTAAATAAGTATGTGTTAACACTAATAAGCACAATGATAATAGTAATATAATTATGTATATTGAAATTATGTAATGATCAATATGATATACAATGTAAGTAATAACATTAGTTTATGTGTAAAAACTTATATTATTGTTTCATGTTTAACACTGCCTTAATTACAATATATATAGTGATTGAAAGGATTTAATCAATCATGCTGGGAAACAAACGAACGTAAAAATAGATAATTAGATGCACAACTAACCACCAGGTAATAAGTGTAGGAAAAGAAATTGTAGCAATCCGATTATACAAGAGAAGAGAAAGTTAAGTACTAACAAGACATAACGATAATGGAACAGAATATGACATAAAGTCAAATGAACAATAAACATTTCAATAATACACAATGGATTTAATTAACGATACCATGTTATTTATCCACATAATGATGAAAGTAATCATAATCATCATAATAAAAATATACAATACATACAAGTGAATTGTATAACAGATTAAGGAGAAGAAAGAAATCTAAAAGAAAAACAAACAATAATACAAAAGATTGAAAAGAACAAAATTTGTTACAATTTGGTATCATGAATGTTTCACTGGACAAAGTGCATTCAACAACAACAACAACAACAAATAGTTCTTTATATGATCATAAGAGTAATAATAATAATAATGATTATGATCATCATCATTCGAAAAACCCGCTAAAAATGATGGCAAGAAAAGAATATATCTATATATAGGTGTGTTTAGTTGATTGATATTAGATCTAATTAGATAATCTATTTCTTTCTTTTTCAATTCCATTAAACTTGATTAAACATGAATATAAACTTAAATAGAGATGTACCCTTTTGTCAACAAACAAACAACCAACCAATAAATTAGGATCATGAAATGATAACCATCAATTAATCAATCATAGACACATCATCCTGATTATTATTATTAAGATTGCAGTGTTATCAAATTTTTTTTTAATATTTATTTAAGATAAATAATCAATAAATCTAAATAAGTAGTATGTAAGGGGTATTTGAAATAAATAAATAAACAAATAAGTAGTGTATAATACGAATTGAAATGAATTTGTTTACTACATAAAGAAGAATTAAGGTAACAATTATAAGATTAAAATATATCTATTTAAATAAAACATTATTAGTTAATTTAATAAAACAACAACAAGAGGAAGAAGGAAAACAAACATAGAAAGATTATAGGGATGATGATAATGATGAAATGAGCAATTCAACGGGGGGGAGGGAGAAAAATGCGTATCTATCTATCTATCTATTTAAGTAAGTAAGCAGTAATATAATAGGTGTATACAATTAAATTATCAACTAATTTTGTATTATTCAAAGATGAATTGAATAGTAGTGACAAATTATACTTGAGTAGATGATGATAGTCAACTGAACTATACAAACTGAAATAAATAATTACAAGTATTACTAATATATTAGTATTAAAGTGCAACAACAACAAAAACACACAAAAACAAACTGAATAAAAACACTTACTCATTGGAACAGTGCAGAAATTCACCGGAACTAAGATAACTCATTTACAAGGTATATGGAGTTTAAGAGTATTTTATTTTAAAGAAGATAAACGAAAAATTCTCTTTTTGGATCAACGTATCCTTTTGTTTCTTTTTTTTTCATTTTGTAATTTATGATTAATAGTAGTACAATAATCCTGGCGGGTGGTCTATGCTTCTCCACGACGGGTAACAACCGTTAATAAGTAAGTAAGTAAGTAACTTAACAGAATAGAATAAGATTAAAATGTAGTTGGAAAAAGTATGTTTTTTTCATTTGTTTTGTAGATGAGTAATTTTACTAACTGCACACTCATTACTATTTTCATGGTATTTATTTTTTTATAATTTTACTTCTCCATAGAATTGAATACGAAATAATTGATGGATTGATTGGGTTAAATACCTTTCTCCACTAATAAACTAGGCCGTATTTTTTGAAGGAAGCCCCAATCATTAATGGAAACAAATCCATAGGCGTACAATAATGTTAATCTAAAAAGTAATGTAATAAACAAAAACTTTGTAAAAATACTAACAATAATAATGGATTAATGTAGAGTGGTTAAATTTGCTTTACTTCTTAAAATCTATGTACGATGCTTCCTGAGTGGTATAAGAGTGAGATTGAAAGAAGACGTGGAATCAGTCCATGAAATTACCTACAGTCGGACTACGCAGTATAAGTAGGTTTACAATACGTGACTAGAGTCCGTGAGATTATTGCCATCAATGGTTTGAGATGTTGGGTAATATGGCACATAAGAGGCTACAATCACACAAATGCATTCCACTTTGTCTTGTATCAGACAGTAAGTTTTAAAATCACGTTTACAACAAAAATCACAACTACAAATATGGAATATGAATAATTCATTTATAATTGATTGGTCATTGGGTAGTGACCAATATCATGTGTGTTAGTTCCTTCTTAATGCAAATCGAATTTTATCGATTACGTTGTAATATGGCCACTAGTCTGGGTGACTCGACATCGCATGCACTATGTTGATATGAACAGTGGTAGTTGGAGGTAGTTGACAGGAAACCCTGTTATATATTACGTCAGTAAGGTGTAACTCATATTTAAAAAGAACACATTGCGAAATAATTATTTTGTTGTGGAAATCTGATCTAATATTTTTCTATATCTCATCACTATTTTATTATCAAATACTTTGAGCTATCGAGAATACGGGAAAACCAGTTATTTCTAACGCATAAACAATAGCCTATGATAAATTATGGAGTTTATATATTTTCACTGTTGAAATCACGGGTGGATCTAAGCTAGATCACCATTGAAAACCTGGAAGGCCTAGTATGGGACTCCTGAGTAGTGCGCACCTAACAAACCCACACACGGGACTCGAACCCAGGACTTTTGGTCTTTGTCAGACCCTAGAAACTCAAACTACTTCCTTAATTTCTTGTGAAGAAAATCAATCTCATCGAACTGTAATGGTTACTGATTAGCTAGCGCTTGAATGTAAAAGTTGGATACTGAATTCAGTACTTTTTGATAGTTTCGAGCTTGTCTCATCTTACTTTTGACATTGAAAAAAACCCACTAAATGGTTGTACATATCTTGTTCTCATTTTAATGAGTGTATGCAGTGAAATATAAAATGAACTTAAACAAATTAGTTAGTGAATACATATATATAGCCCCTAGAAAGAGAAGATAGATAAACATGGTAGTCTTACAAGGTTACATACATTTACATAAGTGGAATTAGTTAATGATTTAAAATTACAAATAATTAGTACAGTTTTCTATGGTAATTTAATCTACATTGTTTAATTAACTGAGTTTAGACCAGAGAAATATCCATTTTCAGAGAAATTCTTAAAAGACAATTTTATTAAAGATGTGCTATAAGGCGAGATATCCGTCTATCAATTAAGGGACGAGGACACTGTGTAGCAGTTTGTTTTGTTATGCCTTTACGGCTGCGAAACATGGCCATTAAAGGTAGAAGATTCTGGTAAACTACTAGTATTTTGACCACAGATGCCTTAGAAATATTGCCAACATCCGCTGGGATCGCCGAGTAAATAATAGTGAGGTTAGACGCAGGGTATTAGGGAATGATGGTAAATCAGTTGATGAGGTTGTGCATCTTCATCGACTGAGATGGTTGGGTCACGTGTTACGTATGCCTGAACACCGATTACCACTACGTGCAATGCTAACCAGTGTTCGGGATGGTTGGAAGAAAGTTAGGGGCGGCCAAACCAAAATGTGGAACCAATCCTTGAAGTCACTAACTTCTAGTCTGAGCCATGTTGATAGATGCAGACTACTTGGTTGGGGTCTGCGTGACTATCGTAACCAATGGTTGGAGACTCTGGGTGACAGTTCAGAATGGATCACATAGCGTAGGTGCAGACACTCTCTATCTTCCCTTAAACTGAGATTAAAATCGTTTTATTTCTTTCCAAGAACAAATTCTTTGTTCTTTATATGCAATCTTTCTTTTATATATTACCATGAATGAATTAACTACTATGAATTTAGTGTTCATCTTGTTGTGCTAATGAGGTATGGCAACTTGGACCGATGCATATATGTGCCTGGTCCTATGTTGTAGCTAACTGACTGATATATATCATGTATAAAAGTTACTTTTAAGCATTAAACCGTATGGTGAAAAAAACAGTCGCGATCCTATATACAGTAGATGTTTAATTGGGAATTCATTTACGATTGTTCTGAATAAACAGAAATCAACATAGTTATATGAAACATAATATTTATCCATCTAATATATATATTAATCTTACACCACTGTGAACCAGTAGTAATCCAATCTTTTAATCATCCTAAGCTTAATGATAATTTAGGTTGGATGTTGGGGAAAAGCAATAGTATTAACCCTACCCGTTTATTATTATCATTATTATTGTTAATATGTAAGCAGGGATAATACTAATATTGTAACTTACTTAGGACAGGCTTCAATCAACTTTTCAAGTACATCACTGGTTATTTCTCTACAATGGCTAATTCGTAAACATTTTAAGCATACTGCAGGAGCATTTGTTAGATGGAATAAACTGGAAATGTAAAGACAAAAGTGAAGTGATTCATTTAATAACACCAATATATAACATGAAACAATTCAGAAAATGACATATAAATAAGTATATCATACATACGCAGAGCAGTGTATGGAATAAACAGTAAGCCAATCTTTTCACTGTGATAATATGATGTCTTCTTATTTGATCAAGTACATTTTTGAACTATTCTTATGATTGTTAACAGATTTATTTTACTCGTTTGTGTATGGCAGAACCTGTGAGAAAGTTATGTCGCGATTAAACGTACACTATAAATCTAGTAATTCAGTTAATGAAGCTGTGAACTTTAGGCGGCTGAGGTAACTTTAACACATTCAGCCACCAGGACTGATGTTGTATGCTACAGAGTACGGAGAAGTTAGAAAAGTGACAAAAAACAAAGTCAGTCAGTTATCCATTTACGACATAGAATGTAACAAATAGGTGCATCGGTTCAAGTTTCCATACGATATTAGCACAGTGAGATAAATGCAAAAGTAGTAACACATTCAGCAGTATTAGTAGTAAATATTAGGTATGGAAGAAAAAGTACAGAGACAGGGAGAACAGGACATGGTATGCGTTCGTCAAGTAAATAACATTTAGACTGAACTGTGTATTTACATGCATACGTCCAGCAAGATAGTAGAGAAAGAAAACAATATTTGCTAATTAAATTGCATAACTTTTACACTGACGCGTTCTCTTGTAAAATTCTGATTTCTATCATAACAGAAAAACTAATAAACGTGCGGAGAAAGAAAATCTTACACAAAAAGTTGACAAAACTTGTACAACAGAATTTCAACGGTTATCAGTACCTATATTTAGGATAATTAAATAATCCAAAAGGACTTTGGAGATGCAAGGAAAGTGTTGAAGCGCAATATATGATGTAAAAAGTCCTATTGTATGTAACAAAAGAATGAAGTCCTTATTATCTGACCAGCCCCCTGAATGCCCTGGTACGGCCGAGAGTGGGGAGAGTCCGCTCTCCCTCTCGAAATACTCTCACACGGCCACGCGTATACAGCCTCTGCCAGGGAAGTCCTACTCATTGCCTTCTCGTGGCGGGGGTGTTGTTTACGAAAATGAGAGGACGAAAAGCGAATGTCCGGCGCTTTAACCGGATTCCAAACCAATGGTGCACATGGGCTCCAGTATCCTGCGGGAACAAATGGCGTATGAACCAATCGTTGGTCACCGGCTACCATGGGACTGCATCTCCTTACGATGCTCCACTGCCTTGTGGGTTAGACCTTTAGGTCAAAGGCTCGGGGAGTGGCCCCCTAAGATAACCACCTGCTTCGGTTTGGGCACCCGGGCAGTATCACAGCCCACACACAAATTGATGAACTCTTTATGCCTATGGAAATTACCTTTCTCGCTTTGAAAAACAAACAATTGATTCAGATTATTATCATTACAATTATTGTCATTATTAATACTATTATTATTATTATACTATTTATTATTATTATTATTATTATTATTATTATTATTATTATTATTATTTTCCACATTATTCACCCTCTTTTATACTTATACAGCGGCTCGTCTTTGGTGGAAATCCGACTGTATCTAAACGTTCTCGAGTCACTGTCCGGTTGAAAATTGTATGTTACCACCGAATACGAGGACTGAAGCAGATTTTCTGAAACCACGTGCACCATTCAAACTGGCTGCCTTCAACGTTCGCACATTTATGCAGGTCGGACAACAGATAGGGCTGGCTATGTCTTTGGAAAGTCTTAATATCGATGTTTGTTGTCTATCCGAGACCCGTATTCAAGACTCTGGCGAAGTACTACAAATTCGATCTCCATCTGTCGCTTCGAAAAGCTTGTTTTACGTGCGCTTATCCGGGGACCCTGTGGCATCTTCGTCTGGTCTTGCTGGCGTTGGTGTCGCACTAAGCGCTAGAGCTGAGGCAGCACTAGTCGATTGGATCCCCATTAACAGTCGGTTATGTGCTGTTAGATTAGAAAGTTCCATCAAAGTGAGAAGAAATCGGCGTGAGAAACGATGTCTTTTCGTCATCTCCGCCTATGCCCCGACAGATTGCAGCCCGGATGCAATCAAGGATGAGTTTTACCACCAGTTATCAGTTCTTCTCCAGAAAGTGCGTTCGACAGATATTGTAGTACTAGCCGGAGACTTGAATGCTCAGGTCGGGCGTCTAGGCACAGAAGAGAGTCGTTTAGGTGGCCGATGGGGACTCGTTGGTCGCAGGTCAGATAACGGGGACCGTCTACTGCAACTTTGCACAGACCACAACCTGTTTCTGGCTAGCACTAACTTTCGGCACAGTCATCGCCGATGTGCCACCTGGCGTCCTCCCTCTGCATCTCAAGCCTGGACTCAGATTGATCACATCGCGATCAGCTACCGCTGGCGTGGTTGTGTAAAAGACTGCCGCTCCTTTTGGAGTACCTATCTGGACTCTGACCATGCCTTGGTCTGCGCCAATCTTGCCTTACTTTTCAGTGGACAACGAAGTGACCGCCACCAACGGATTGATGTTAGCAAGCTGGTTGCAACTTCTGTTGCAAGTAAGTATCGAACCGAGCTAGCCTCTAGGCTAGCTACCACTCCACCGAAAAGTATAGATGAGCATTGGTTGCAATTGCATGACGCCATGAAAATGGCGGGAACAGTCAGTTGTGGGTTTGCGAAACGTCCCGCTTTTAAGCACTGGGTTTCTTCTGGTTCCTTACAACTCATTGAAGCCCGTCGGTCTACTCCGGGTGACCGTGAGTTTGACCATAAACGAAGGATGTTACGTAAGGAAATTGGGCAAAGCTTGCGTAAGGACCGAGAAGCCTGGTGGTCGATGCGTGCTAATGAGCTGGAAGCAGCAGCTGCATCTGGTAACTACCGGAAGCTCTTCCAGCTCATCCGAGCCACTGGCAGCAAGAAGTCTGGTGTGAGTGAAACAATCTGCGAGGATGATGGGATGCCAATCACTAACATCCATCGACGTCTTGGACGATGGGCAGAATTTTTCGAAGGGCAGTTCAACTGGCCTGCTGCTCCGGCAACATCGGTCAGACTGTCCTGCCCTCCATGGCCGGTGACGACTGATCCACCAAATGAGGAGGAAGTCCGCAAGGAACTCCAACTCTTGAAGCGTTACAAATCACCTGGCCCAGATGACTTACCTCCGGCTCTTTTTAAAGATGGTGGTGACTTTTTGACTAAGGAATTGACGACGTTGTTTACAAAGGTTTGGGAACTAGAGAGTGTACCAACGTCATGGAATGAGTCGATAGTTGTCCCTATCTTTAAAAAGGGTTCACGTCGTTCCTGTAACAACTATCGGGGGATAAGTTTACTTCCGATTGCGTCCAAGCTATTGGCTTCCGTCATTCTTCGTAGGTTGTTCAAAACCCGAGAAAGATTGACTCGCGAGGAGCAGGCTGGGTTTCGTTCTGGTCGAGGATGTATTGATCATATCTTCACCCTCCGCCAAATGTTAGAACACCGCCATACTTTCAAAGGCCAACAATCGTAGTGTTTCTTGACATCAGGGCTGCCTTCGATTCGTTGGACAGGACTGTTCTCTGGGATTGTCTATTGAAGAAGGGTGTGCCTGAGAAGTTTATTAACATCCTAAAAGCCCTATATAAAAACACCTCAGGCAGAGTGAGGGCATACAACCACCTCTCTCCATTGTTCCATTCGAGCAGTGGGGTTAGGCAGGGTTGCCCAATCTCACCATTCCTCTTCAACTTTGCCATCGATGACATTCTGGAAACAGCTCTGATGAATGTAAGTAATGGTGGTGTGGATCTGTTGCCTGGAGAAAGACTTCTCGACCTTGAGTATGCGGACGATATTGTCTTACTGTGCGATAATGCCCAAGGCATGCAATCCGCACTTAATCAGTTGGCAATCAGTGTCCGTAGGTATGGTATGTGCTTTGCACCTTCGAAGTGCAAAGTACTTCTACAAGACTGGCAGGATTCTAATCCTGTACTCACCCTGGATGGTGAGCAGATAGACGTAGTTGAGAAGTTCGTGTATCTGGGTAGCTGCATAAGTGCTGGTGGGGGTGTGAGTGATGAGATCAATGCACGAATAGTGAAAGCCAGAGCGGCTTATGCCAATCTGGGCCACCTTTGGCGCCTTCGTGATGTTAGTCTGGCTGTAAAAGGTCGGATCTACAACGCGTCGGTGAGAGCAGTTTTGCTCTATGCTTGTGAAACCTGGCCTCTCCGAGTTGAGGACGTTAGACGACTCTCTGTGTTCGATCATCGCTGTCTCCGAAGGATTGCTGACATTCAGTGGCAACACCATGTCAGTAATGCAGAGGTTCGGCATCGTGTGTTCGGGCACAGAGATGATAATCAATTGGTGTCACCATCTTGAAACACCGACTTCGGTGGCTTGGACATGTTCTCCGAATGTCGTCCCAGAGAATTCCACGTCGTGCATTATTTGCCGACTCTGGGACTGGTTGGAAGAAGCGGAGAGGTGGTCAGTGCATGACATGGTGTCGTGGCATGAAAGAAAGCTGCAAAGGACTGGCTTGTGTTGGTCCTTCACGACTCCCTGGTTGGGGTCCGAGAGATGGTGCTACACAGTGGCTAGAGACGTTATCAGATATGGCTCAGAATAGAAGCCAGTGGCGATCCTGCTGTAACCTTCTTTTACTTCATAAAAAGTGGTTGTGTCTCCTTTACCTGAAAGATTTCTTCTGATTGTACCTTTTCGTTCCGTCGTTACTACCACACTACCTTACTCCAATCTCTTCGTCATTGTTCTCTTTTTCTTTTGCGTCCTTAGTTTTTTTTTTCTACTTCTCTTCGAATTCTCATTGTTTTGTGTGGCGCATATATATTGGCGCTCTCTTGTACCAATATTCATGTGTTCAAATAAATAAATAAATAAGCTTCGACCAAACATCCACATAACCACATCATGTAACCTGATCAAGTCTAAATCGTAAACACATGTACAAATCCAATCATGTATTCATATCGTAAAATACACAATCATTCAGATGCACACTTACAGATATTAAAATTATATCATACACAAACACTTTTGACGTAAATAACACAACAGTAACAAGTTCTTTCAACTTATTACCATGTATTTACTGAACATATATTTAATTGGTTCTTACCAATTAAATTGTTTATTTGCTGAAGAAGGTAGTAAGTCGTCAGAAATGTACTTCACTACTTATTGAGACGTCATCACCGTCGGAAAACAACTTAATATTCAGTTTGTTATAAACATGCTTTAGTTATGACATTTACAGTACTGCGGATGATATACAGTTCCAGTGTTGAAGAATGACAGGTAAGCAGTCGTGTCTTAATCAATAGATGAGCACATAAACTTGAGAGAAAACCTATTGATTTGGCCTACATGCTTATAGAAATTCACGTACAGTCGTAACATCAACGCTAAATTGATTAGCTGACACATTTTTCTCCACAACAGATAAGTGATATGGCTGATTGAAATGTAATAGTAACAATTCGAGAGTTGTGTCTTGAATTTCGTTGCCTAAAGGAATCGGGATTACATTTTTATTGCGGTATTCATTTATTTGAACACGTAAATATTGGTACAAGAGGGCACCAAATATATATGCGCCACACAATAACAGTGAGGCCAGTAGTAGTTATCATTGATTTATGTGAGGACTGTGATACTGCTCGGGTGCCCAAACCAAAACAGGTGGTTTTGTTAAGGGACCACTCCGCGAGCCTTTGACTCGAAGGTTTAACTCACAAAGCAGTGGAGCAACATCACAAGATGCAGTCCCATAGTAGAGAGTGGCCAACAATAGGTTCCTGTCATTTGTTCTCTTAGGATTCTGAAGCCCATGTGCACCACTGTATTGGACTCAGGTTTCCCAACTACCCTAGGTGGATCCTCCATATCCACCAACCCAATTAAAACGCCGGACACTCGCTACTTGTCCTCTCAATTTCGTAAACAAACCCCCCCCCAGACGCAAGAAGGCTGTGAGTAAGACTTCCTTGTTAATGGCTGCATACGTTGGCCATGTGAGAGCATTTTGAGATGAAGAGTTGACTCTCCCTACCCTCGGCCGTACCAGGGCATTTGGGTTAGTAAGAGTAATTTAGATGAGGCTAACATATTTTAAAAAATAAGTTGTATTTTATAGAATTCGATAATCTATTCGATTAAGGATCGAGTATCAATCCATTTTGATAGCTGGGACTTGGTAAAGAAGATCTATTAGTTTAATTTCAGTATGTTGATTTTATCTGAACGGTTAGAATGGATTTGATTGAGTGGTATGAGACAGAGGTATTCAAAAGTATTTGAATGAGTTTATTTTAGAACAGGCAGAATTTATTCTATTTCAAAAACTTGTCAGATATTTAAAGGCATTAATATTTTCCACTTGGTTAAGAATCAAAACAGTCTTATTGATTAAAAACGAGTGATTGATATATTGGAGATTAACCTACGGTCCCAACTGAACGTTTTGCTATATGATATTATTGATTCAGAAAATCCAGTGTAATCAATGAGTTCAAATCTGACCTTATAAAAGAACATTAGATAAACGACCCTATAAATCAATAACAATGTTAATAGTACCAAATCTATTCGTAAATCATAGTCATTTGAAGACCCACTAGTTAAAATTCGTATGATTAGTTAAATTCATGTTCAAATGCGGTTATTCAAGACAGAATCTCTTCCAGCATACTTAGAGAAAACCGTTCCAGAATAACAAACCCAACTGTTATTTATTACCGGTAAAGAAAGGAAACTTTTTCCAGTCCCCTATTTTTTTTAGTGACCTTGTGATATGATGCGGACCAATTAAACTCAACACTTAAATATTCATTCATCGAAGAGTGAGTGATCACTTCTAATTAATTAATCTTAGATATTACATAGTTAAATGAAGGCTCCGTGGTTCTAGAGCTTAATTGGTGATACAACTGTTGCAACTCAATTGCTATTCATCTTGTCAAAATAGTGTGGTATAGCAATACGGACTAACGCACATTTAAATCAATCAAGGTCTCTGTGCATTATGACCAATTGCTTGCCAGTTATCCTTTTGATAGCAGTACATTGAAAGTTTACAATAATAACCTGGTCTCGTAAGCAGTTGCTGTTCAGTCATATGGTATTCATACTAATAATCTATTAACCAGTATTTTATTATTTAATTTAACAATCCATACCTGTTTATCATTATAAATTTGGGACCTTATAAAAAACAGGTTTGTACTCAATATTATTAGATAGAATAGCAATGCTTTAATTTTCTTCTTTTCACATTCAATCAACTTCACAATAGTATTAACGAAAAAAAGAAGAAACTCCACATAAACTATGGAGAAGTTACACAATTATCAACACATATACACAAACCTTTGAAGTCAATTCTATTGAAGAAACTAAATTCCAAATGGCGTTAAAAAGCTAATCGTTGCACATAACCATGTAGCGGTTTAAAGCTTATTCATCTCTTATCAATCAATTATAAGAAGTTCTATAACAGAGTTGGTAAAATTTACCAACAACCTCAAAGATTCACAAGTGAATTAAAGATGAAAATAACAGATATCTTAATTATATTAAACACCGGTTACAGACATGACTTTCATTCAAAACAATATATAAACTGTAAAAGAATTAACTCTATTGACTTACCCTTTTTGGGTAACAGAAGTACAACTGACATCAAGTTCTTCTAGTTGAGGACAACTGGTGGCTAAAACCTCCATAGTTAAATCACCAACGGCGGCCAGACCACACAGATCGAGTACACGCAAACGAGGCAAACGGCGTAACATTTGGGCAATCCCAGTTTCACGTTTTAAAGAATGCATATTAGCTAAAACAACTTCTTCTAAATGAGGACATTTGGCTGCTAACTGAGAAAGATTATTATCATCACTGAAAGTTTGTGTTCCTCGTAGATCAAGTGAAGAAAGATGAGGTAGCTGTAGAAGAAAAAAAGATAAAAGGAATTAACACCGCTCTAAAGATTGAAATTTAGTTTGCCACTAAACACTATTTGATTAAAGCAATTGTAAAAAGGCACTAAATGATTAAAAATACACAGACACTTGTTGGTGTTCAGTTTTTGAGTTTATTTTAACGCTCCTTTAGCTAACTCAAGATTTTTCATTTTGTGTGTGCATAAGTGTGGTAACTTGAACTTTCTGACGTGCCCATTAACCAAACAGAGATTCATGGATACGAGTTATTTATGGGCTTTTGTGTAAGTAATGGCGAAGTGCAAAAGTTGAAACTAAAGTAGTCACAGTGACAGTCAGTCATAAGTGACGTAGAACCTGCTACATATGAGCATCAGTTCAAGTTGCCGGACCATATGAGTACAGCAAAACGAAACTATCACGATGGTAAAGGTGGAGTGTGATTTGAATCTATGACTGAAAGATGGAAGAACGCGTTCTTTTTAACCATTAAGTCAATGCCTAACTTGAAGGAATGTACCACTACTCATACTATTTTTATGTACGTCTTTTCCATACGACAATTGAATTATCCTTGAATGGGAACGGATTGGGAATGTAGCATTTTCAAATTTCCAAATGTTTATCCCATAAACAGAGGTTCTTAACAACTTACAGGTTACAAACAGAATTTATTTTATAAGTTACCATAGTAAATTACGATGTTCTTGAAAGTGTTCTCTTGGAATAAAGTGAACAGAAGATAGTCGAAATAAGTATATTGTAAAAGTGTTAAACACAGTTGCATCAAATAGTTTGAATACGAAGGTTGAACCTAGAGTCACAACGTACTAATATGGATCGCTTATAAAATAAATAATAATCATATTGTAGGTAAAATTCTATGAACTAAATTCATAATGTGATGGGGGTGGCGTGTCAGAAGAGATAGATATCCATGTATAGTAAAGCCAGAGCGGTTTACGCTCATTTGGATCATCTTTGGCTCCAATATTGTTACTCTGGCTGTAAAAATTTGCATCTACAAAGCGGCGGTGAGAGTAGTTTTCTTTTATGCAAGTAAAATCCGACTTCCCCAGTTAAGGATATGAGGTCATCATCGTTACATCCATAAAGTGCTAACATTCATTGACAGCACTACGTTAGCAATACAGAGGTTCGGTAATGTGAGTTTGGGTACAGTGATGACAATCCATTTAATACTACTAACTTGAAACACCGACATCGGCGACTTGGAAATATGCTACGAATATCCTACTATAAACTTTCATAAGTGCATTATTTCTCGACACGGAGAGTAGTTGAAAAAGCGGAGGTGATCAATTTATGATATGGTGTTGGGGTATGAAAGAATGCTGTATAAGACTGGATCTATCGATTCATCATGACTTCCTGTTTGGGTTCGAGAGATAGCGCAACTCAATGGCTTGAGATTTTATCGGACATGACTCAGAATAGAAACCAGTAGTGGTCCCACAACAATTTCGTTTTACTCTCTTCGTAAAACGAGAGGAACCGAAAGGATTTTTTCAGGTCGTATTTTTCTTCACCGAACTGTTTCTCCTACTATATAGTAATCTCGTTCACTTATTTCCTTTCAAAAGATAAAACGACATAGTAGACTCAATTTTGAAGGTTAATGACATGATCAGGTTGCGTGGAGGTCAAGTTGCAAAGTACATTAATGTGAGGGAAATGAGCGGTTCAAAACTGGGATCAATAATTATACAACAATGTTACATATTTCGATTACTTTGCTGACAAGTTCTAATAAACCATCCGAAGATAAATGATGAAGATGTCCAAATGCTAGTGCTCTCAATTCTTGACACTGTCCCAATAAAGCCAATATACTTGAATTTAAACGAAAACATCCAAACAACTCTAAACGCTCCTTTTATAATTAAAGACAAACAAACAATAAAAACAAAATTAACATTAGTAATAAAACAAAACAATGATCAATAAGTATTCGTGAACTATTTCATTATGTAATATTTGTTATGACTTATGTCCGGCTAGTTATCACGTGATTTATCCACCAATCAAAATACGACTTTTACAATCTTAACACCGTGCCAAACCAATGACGTTCGACCGTATGAGCAGCCTAGCTTCCTTATTAGTCCTGTGTCCGCTTAGCTCGTCCACTTGAGTCCAGAACACCAATACCAGCTTCCACTATGCGAATCATATATTTCAAACATACTAGGTTTATATATGAATCAAACAGATCGCAACGCACCATACACAATAAAGCCAAAAAAGTGGCTGTGAACGTGGGAGAGACAGTAGTTAATGAACTGAGCATAATTTAGGGATAGTAAATCGTATGATAATAAATTATAGGTCAAGATGAAGCTTACAATAAGAGGAATATAAATACACATAATCTTATTATTGAATAATTATACAATAAGAATATTTGTAGAATATTAGTCCATTAATAGTCCTCGAAGTTACCTGTAATTTAATCTTAACTAGAATATAAAAATATTTACAATTGTAGTTAAAACAGTGGATTATATTGTTTTTTTTTCTTCTTAGACAATGTTTATGATTCATTTAATCCTAGTGAAATATTTATGTATCAATAAAGAATGTTCAAATCACATGAAGTAGTGATGTGTTTTGCAAAACTACAAATATTAAATTAAATGATGGTAGAATATAACATTGATATTACGTTAATAAGTGATATTTAAGGTAGTATAAACAAGTACTACACATTGTTCATATATGGGTGTGTGTTTATAATAAACGCATTAAATGGAAATAAAAGCTGTCTCATGTAAACTAACTAATCATGTTTGCTTTTTTGAAAGATAGAGAATTATTATCAATATTTTAATGTCTTGATATTTTTGTTTTTAAACATTCAGTTAGTTATAACGTAGAACTTTGTATGTATGTACATCAGTTCGAGTTGCCATACCACATTAGCACGGAGATACAATTGTCTATCAGAATAGACAATTGTATCTCCGATCGAATTGTATCTCCCGATCGAAGCTGCTACCTTGACGCGGTGGTCGGGCTTGCCTATCGTGATGACCCAACCGAGCTATATTGGCTGGAACATATGTTCCTGTAGGTTCTACCATGCCAGGCAGGTCGATTGGTGAACGGTAAGACTAAAAGCAGCAACTCAAGGTCTGAGGGCGAAGTCGTACTGCTGACTGTGGAGAGGTGTGACAGCAGTAAGGTGTTTCCTTCGGACAACCAGCATGACAGCGATGCTGCCTTCCCACAAGGAGGGGTGGGGTTAGAAAAGGTCGACCCTAAAAATGTCACACCTCACCTTACCTCACGGATTTCCGTCTCCGGCGGTAAGGCCCTTTGAAGAACGGAGCTAACACGTCAAAAACCTTCCACAAAAAGGCCGTGCGCGACCGGCCTCAAGCAGTTGTCCCTTGGGCTCTGCGGTCACGCTCCCAGGTCGTCAAGACCAACACTAATCCAATTTCCTTTTCAGGTTCCTCAAGAAATACCCTTCCACGGTGTGGGCAGCCGGGAAGTGACATCAGCCCTCATACCCGTAACAGCACAAGAGACCAAGGTGGTCACATTCAAATCCTTCCTACACCTCCTAATACCTCTCTTATCTCCATGACTAACCCTCCTCACGTCTCTTTATCACCTCGCACCGCTAGGGCAAACGATTCGAGTACGTGGAACGCCATTCCTGGTCTCCTGAAACCACGCTCTAAACTACACGTAGGAGCTTTTAACGTACGAACACTTTGCCAAATAGGACAGCAGGCTTCCTTAGCTAAAACTTTAGAATCTCGCGCCATCGATGTGTGCTGCGTCTCCGAAACGCGCATACAGGATCCAAGTAGCGTCATTCATTTGACCTCACCATGCCAAAATAAAGAACCGACTCGATTTACGCTTCGTGTATCTGGAAGCCCTGATTCTGCTTCCCGTGGCCTCGCCGGCGTAGGTATAGCATTGAGTCCTAGGGCAGAACTAGCTCTCTTAGAGTGGATCCCAGTAGACAGTCGTTTGTGCGCTGTCCGACTGAACGGAACAGTAAGAATCCGGAAAGATAGGGACACTCGTCGTTGCCTCTTCGTCGTCTCTGCCTATTCTCCCACTGACTGCAGCTCAGATGATGTAAAAGATGAGTTTTACAGAAAGCTTTCGGACCTTCTCCGAAAAGCTAAGCGCTCGGATGTAGTAATAGTGGCCGGTGACTTTAATGCTCAAGTAGGTAAACTAAGCGATAGGGAAAGACACCTAGGTGGATCTTATGGTGTCGTGGCTCAAAGAACAGATAATGGCGACCGTCTGTTGCAGCTATGCTCAGATAACCGCCTGTTCCTTGCAAATACTAACTTTAAGCATAAGGAAAAACATCTTTTAACATGGCGACCCCCTAATTCGTCCCAACGTTGGACCCAAATAGATCACATCGCTATCAGCCACCGATGGAGGGGCTCGATAGAAGACTGTCGCTCATTCTGGAGCACATGCCTAGATTCAGATCATGCTCTAGTGCGAGCGCGTATTTGCTTGCGTCTTACTGGACGTAGGAAAGACGCTGCAAGGAAACCTCTTAGGGCCTACTTAATGATAGTCAAGCTAAGAGTATATTTCAGGAACAACTAGGAAAACAGTTAGGCAGCCATGTATGTGATGCCCACCCCGATGCAGCATGGAATGATATCCGAAAAGCTGTGGAAACAGCAGTGATATCTGCTAGTAAGGTAAACCAGAAGGTTAGGGAGCAACACTGGATCTCAGCAGCATCTATCGCACTGATAGATGCTCGGAAACTCATTCCACCTGGCTCTGAACATAATGAAGAGCGGAGTCAGCTTAAGCGCAAGCTGACAAGAAGTCTACGCAATGATCGCGAACAGTGGTGGGTAGCGAAAGCAAGAGAGATGGAAAAGGCAGCGGCAATAGGTAATAGCAGACAATTGTTCAGACTCGTTAAGGAAACCGGAATTAGGAACCCGACCGTTAGCGAAACAATCTCAGAGAAAGATGGACATATTATTCATTCTCAATCCAGGAGATTGGATCGATGGTAGAGTTAGTAAGAGTATAAACAGCAATCGGAAAGATTAGGGTTTGAAGATGTTATTCAAGGAGTATAATCTAGTGAAATAAATTTGGGAAGAGAAAAAAAAGAGACAAGAAGAATTCAGGAAATTAGAATTTAGGAGAACACAAAGAGTGGATGCACCTGCGCCATTGCAAACGATCTTGAGCCATGTCATTCAAGATCTCTAACCATCGGTTGCTATCGTCTCGCAGATCCCCGGAACCAGATAGTCTACACCTACCAACATCACTCAGTCCACTTGTCAGTCACTTCATGAATATGTGCCATGTTTTGATCTGGCCACCACTAGCTTTCTTCCAAATTACTCCTACATCATAAAACATCGCACATCGAGGCAGTCGGTCGTTGGGCATACGTAACACGTGTTCCAGCCATCTCAACTCATGAAGTTTCACTATTTCATCAATTGATTCGCCATCGTTACTTAGTACCCGTTTCCTAACAACTGCATTACTTACTCGATGGTACCAGGATATACGAGCAATGCTTCAAAGACACCTAAACAGATTTTACCAATCACATTCGCCACACAAAACTAATTATTATGCAACATTACAGAAGACATAAAATGCGTTAACAAATGTTAGAAGTCAAAATCCAAGGTGAAAGGTAACCAATTAATACATACCTTCGCTATTGTAGCCGATGCCCCCAAATGCCCTGGTGCGGCCGAGAGTGGGGTGGGTTCGCCCTCCCTCTCGAAATGCTGTCACATGGCCACGCGTATATAGCCTCTGCCAGGGAAGTCCTACTCACTGCCTTCTCGTGGCGGGGGTGTTGTTTACGAAAATGAGAGGACGAAAAGCGAATGTCCGGCGCTTTAACCGGATTCCAAACCAATGGTGCATATGGGCTCCAGTATCTTGAGGGAACAAATGGCGTTGGTCACCGGCTACCATGGGAATGCATCTCCTCACGATGCTCCACTGCCTTGTGGATCAGACCTTCAAGTCGAAGACTCGAGGTGTGGCCCTCTGAGAGAACCAGCTGCTTCGGTTTGGGCACCCGGGCAGTATCACAGCCCACACACACAAATATGGCGCATATATATTTGGCGCCCTCTTGTACCGGTATTTTTGTGTTGAAATAAATAAATAAAACATATTGTAGCCGATAATTGAGTCATGTAATCAAAAGTATCTTTCACTACAGACTACGATTATCAAGTGGAACCCAACTAAGTTTACACTTTTCCACAAGATTAAGGCTAACAATCAATAACTTGATGAACTAATGAGTATCTCGACAACCACATCAATGTCCATGTATTATTAATTTGTCACAGATGCTGACAGATAATTATACTAATTAGATGACTTCAAAATAGTAACTAATTAGGTAAAAGTATAATATTTAAACTAATTAAACAAAACTCTAGTCTTTCGCAGTGATGCAGTCCTATTACGAGTTTTCATAGCAAAAACTAATTGAAAACAGTTAGTTTTCATCAAAGATACTCGATTTTATTGAAGGGAGCATGTGATCTTAATTGTACACCGGACTTTCGCCATAAGTTTGTCTTTGCTTGTGAAATATTTCATTCCTAGTTCAATCACAATCGTAATATACTATAGATGATTGTATATACATATTGTAGAGACTAATGTCATATTTGAAATTTAGAGTTCATATACAACAACGAATATCCTTAAAGATATTTTTGTACAAACAAACAACTAAAAATTATGCAGATATGTAGTGAAGATGGGACACTTTTGTACTATTAGATACACGGAACTGTATGACTCAAGACACCTACTAGTTATAACTAATACATATGGTGATTGTAGTTAGAAAATTAATCCGATACTGAAAAAGAATTGGATACAGTTACACTGTTCTTAACTCAGATGACAATGTGTCACGTTATACTTGGTCCTATATGTCACATAATCTGGTTATTTTTTAATCTGAGTAATTGGATATTCTACCATTTTTATTTTATTAAAACACATAAACATGGGCACAAGTAGGCACCGAATAGATATGCGTCACAATCCATAGTCCGGTTTGTGTGAAGGCTGGAATACTGCTTGGGTGCCCAAGTCGAAGCAGGTGGTTTTTTTAGGGGCACGATCCAAGCTTTTGACCTAGAAGTTTCATTCACAAGGTAGTGGAGCAACGTTAGGAGGTGAAATCCTATGGTAGCCAGTGACGATGGTCACAAGTCTAACTGACTGCATTGAAACAACAATTGCATAAGCTTTCTATTTAACTCAATGTGATTCGAAAATAGAGCACAAGATTTTGTGCCCAAAATTTAGTTACTATTTATATACGAGGCCCGGTGATACTAATTGGTTGTTTAGGTTGAGATGTGTAAAGTGAGGTCTGAACTTGAAATCCATTAGTTGCAAGTCGAATGTTTTAACCATAAAGTTGCTGTTCCACCATTTAATGCAATTCACTAACAAGGTGCAGGTTTTTACAGTGCAGTTATTGCTGCAAAAGAAGGGACACCATAAAGCCGGTTAAGTCAAAGTAAGTGGGCTATGGTTTTCATCACTTGTATGCTCGAATAGCTAGATTAACAGATCCTTCCATTACATTAATATTTTCATCTAATTATCGACTGATTTGTTAAAGATTGAAATAGAAACAAAATGAATTACTACTTTCTAAATAAATAAATAGATAAATCATTTACAAATTTTTCCTACTGTCCTTATTTACTTACAAGGTATTTTGATGATAATGAACCAATTGTTGTATAGCAGCATTACTTATTTGTGGGCGCCATTCAATTTCACACTAATTAAATGCGTGGCAGATTTAGCTAGAGCAATCACAGTTTGATCACGTACTGATTGAGTATAACTTGCATTCACATGTTGTAAATTATGACAATGATCAGCAACTATTCTCAAAGGTAGATCTTGATCAAATGGTCCTTTAGTACAACCGATTAATGACAGTTTTTGTAATCCTGGACCACAGACAAGAAACATGCGTTTTAATCCTAGTGTGGTGAAGAAAAGAAAATATTACAAACACGTCTTCGTATGTATGTAGAATAATATTTCAATTACATAAAACTATATTTTAAGAGAAATAAATAAACAAGACAGTAGAAATAATCACACTTTCTACTATTATTAGGACCATTATTCAACCCTAGTGATATTCAGACAATTTTAAGTCAAATCTCATACATATCACAAAATTAAAGTCATATGTTAGGATATTATGAAGTATAGAGTCAAATTGATAAAACTATTATGTTAGATCTTTGAAATTTGAAAGTGTAGCAATAGGTTGACTGACCGACCCATTACATTACAGATTGAAATCCAGTTGTTTCAAATTCCGATACCGATAAGCAAATTTTTTATTGGCTAACCGGATCGAAGGATAACTGTACACTATATATATATGTATCCCTTAGGACCTTAGGTCACTCTTTCACGAATGGGCTGTACCTTATTCCTTAGAAAAGGGGACCACATCTTAGACAATCGCATGGGCTTATTATTTAACGTGACACAGGATAGATCGTATGATGTTAACGAAATATACATGCCACTAACCCTCGTATATAATTCACGTCAGAGAATAACACAGTAAATAGGTCAAATACGAGAATAAATTTTGAATACATAAATCTTATACAGTTCTACTACACGAAGCTGGAACGTAAGGAACTACTACAACCATCATCAAAAAGTAAAAGTATTTACAAACCATCGTCTTCGCAAAATACTCAATGTCCGTTGTACGGATACTATCAACAACAACCTACTGTGGCAGAGAACAAAACAGCTACCAACTGAAAAAGAAATTAAGAAAAGACGCTGGAAGTGGATAGGACATATATTGTGAAAATCATCAAACTGGATCACGAGGAAAGCCCTAACTTGGAATCTTGAAGGCGAAGGGAAAAAAGACCCGAAAATATGTTGTATCGGGAAATAGAGGCAGATATCAGGGTAATTAATAAACATGTTCGTTATGAAAAGGAGTGAAATCAAAGAATGATTAACAGGAAAAACTGAAAGTTAACATATACATCGCACACTCACCTGTAGCCGTTAGGCTGTCACCACGACAATAAGTGAAACGTAATTCTTTCGGTTTAAGATTTCCAATTCTCACTAAATCTGCATCAGTCAAATGATGTTGTCGGTGAAGATGAATGACTCGCCATAATGAACGATCCATTGAAAGTCTGGACAAATGTCGACAAGTTTGAGCAACCCGTACACGATCTACTGGACTTAAATATCGTAGTACTTCAAGCCATAATTCATCGGGCAACAGTAGCCAGTTTGATGTAATAAACTCATTTTTAGGTTCGCTAATTTTATTAATATGAACATTTGTTGGAATTCCCTGAATAAAGGTTGACAAATAAAAGTGGTTATAGATTTACTTTACAAGTTAAATTGAACAATCTTCGACACAGGAAAAATCTATGCGGATTGCCGTAAAACTTGAAGTTTCAAGGCATACTTGTGAAAAAGCATTTTTAATGACAGATACAGCTATAATATATCTCTATTGACGGAATTAAATACATTTTGGAAGTTAAACGGTAGGAGACTAATTATGTTTATTTAATTAAGTAGGTTGTGAGGATTTTTACTGTGATAAGATGGTTTCTGTTACGGAATGACATCAGCAAGCGAACCAATGAAGCCACAGAATGTGGGTTCAAAAACTGATGGCACAGTAAATATGTACTGTTGAGGAGTCCCAATCTGTAACTAAACGATTATGTTCATGTTTCTAAAACTGACTTTATGTAAAGATCTGAGTGATATAATCACTGGTAAGACTCAAATAATTATGGTTTACTATCACCTAATGATACTACCTGGTTGGGTAAACTGTGAGGTCGTTCACAATTACATCACCTATATATTTTAAGTGGTTATTTGATGTATTTCATTTAGTGGATATTTATTTAAAAAAATAGTCTTAGAAACCACAAGAAAGCATATCACTAGATGTAAATAGGTAAGAAACATTTATCGAGATCTAAGGCAATCTCTTATTTTGATCATAAAATAATACCTCTTTCAGTATACTAGCGACTGGACTGTTTGTTGTTGTACCATCCATGCAAACACTAAGGCTCTTCGATATATAACGACGATTACGTCTTGGTGGGTGATGATGACAACGATTTGACTTGGCATGTGTATCATTCCATTCTGAACGATTGTCTGGAGATGATCCAGTAGTGTTGTTCGATTTGACCTTTTGACTACATGACTTACTGTTTGAACACGGAAGAGGTGACTGCTGAGATTTGTCTGGTTGACTATTTGAATTTAGTTTCCTGCAAGTAAGAACAAGACATTTGTTGATATTCAAGGAAAAACGGTAGTGCATTAATTTTCATAGTCGTCTTAGCAACTACCGTAAGGGTTGTGAATAAAATTATATAATCGGGGCAAAATACAATCTGAACTGTCACCTACACGTACACCAACCTAATTAGACTTCAGAATCCCTTTAAACTTGGAGAAATCCTTATCCATCAACAGATCATCTGTACTTAGTGCACTAAGTCTAACTTTAGCACTACTCACTCGGTGGTTTCACTAAACACGAACAATGCTTCGGAGATATCTATGAACAAATAATAGTAACCTAAGTATGTTTTCTACTTCTTTTGGGATTACACGATAAAAAATGGAGTATTGTTTCTCAACAACACTACAACATATAGAGAGACTAATGGTGACTAGCCACATGCATTTATTACTATATTCACTAGTAATGAGGCAAGATAAAACAAACTAAGATGCACAGATTTTGGCCTATTCACATGACTGAGTGAATGTGACAAAATGTAAGAAAACATTTTTGAGTTGATTAGAACTGGAAAATAAATGCGGATATTTAAAATGAATGATGTAGGCTACTTCGAAAAGAAATATAAAAATTGGTTTTATGTAAATGACTTCAATATTGTTTTTCACAAAAAAAAAACAATATACACATATCATAAAATGAGATTTGTGTGGCGCATATTTATTTGGTGCCTCCTTGTACCAATATCTATGTGTTAAATAAATAATCAATATTGTTTAGTATATAAGAATTCGTAACATTAAAATAGATGTTTGAAAACTTACATATTTGTATTACATTCAAGCTGAACAGAAGCAACATTTCCTTGACTATATGATGCTCTTAAATATGCAGCAGGTCTAAAATAAATGAGCCGAATTAATGCGCTTTTAAAATTACTAATGTATATGAATATCTATTTCAACAGAATTTAATGAAGACATTAAAAGACCAAGTTCAAAGGATCATAATTTGAAGTGAATATATACTTGGTAACGTATACTTTATATTTACTTGACCTTCTTAAATTTATATATAAAGATATTTGATCCGAAGGCTTGAAATACATAGTGCACAAGTACACTACGTTTTTTTGGGTCGACTTTCAATTTCTACGACACTCGAAATATAACCAGTACAATCGTGGTCTTAATAAGTAATTTGTAGAACCAGATGCACATCAACCGTTAATGTTTCGCAAATTATTTGGTTTTACTGTAATTGGGTTTTTATAATTATGGAGAGATATTTCTTACTTCCACCTCTTTCATCTAATGTTCCTTGAGAGTATGACAGATTGTGGGATCCACCACACACCAATAAACGGGACTGGTAAATCTAACACTATATGATACTCTAATTTTTATTGCACGTGACAACATTGATTGAGAAATGAGGTGTAAGTACTTAATCTAGTACAATGATATTTTAAAGTACGCCCAGTCGACAAAAATCCTGATACATATCTGCATTGGTTTAATTTGCCATATCCCATGTACTAACATATAAGTAAACGATATTATTTTCTATTAGATCTTCGTCAGACTTCACTCTGATCTAGAGTAATATTTATATGGATGTATAAAAATATTAAACCAATCAATAAAGTTTATAAGTTACTGATAACAACGAAATAGATCACTGTTTTATAATCAGAAGTAGGTCAACAACTTGGAAAAATAGACACTGAAATAAGACTCATTAAAAATTATTAAAATTGAATAATAAGGAATCAAATAATTAGACAGAGAACAAACTTGAAAAATGAGTGAGGAGAAATAAACGGTCTGGGCACCCAAGCAGTATCACAGCCCACATAAAAATCAAGTGACTTGTGTAGCGCATATGTATTCGGTGCCCCTTTATACTAATATTTATGTTCAGAAGGGGTTTGTGGAGATTTTTAGAAATTTTCACAGATTGAAATCATGAGTCAGTTGGAACTAGTAATAATAATAAATCATAAGTAGCATTACTTTCTAAACCTGATTCGGTCATGAAAGAGATAAGTTACAAATTTCTTATGAATACAAACAAATCCCTACACTTTCCGATCAATGGAAGAGACGAGGTCGATAAACATAAGTAGTACGTATTCGATAAATGACTAAACGATTTATTCCTATCCACAATAAATCGCTATCCAAAAAAATCTGATAGAACGGAGCCCCGTATTGTCTCGGTCATATTCTTTCTCCAATATAGATTACTATGCAGGAACAGTTGATTTCGTAGATACATACATGCATAACCAGATGGCTTATAATTGAATAACCACCATAGGTCGGCTAGAAAATGGCAGATAGATGTTAGGTGTGTAGAAAGTCCTCTTCGCTGCTTTAGTCTATCTCGTAGTACATTACTACTCATATCTCCCAGATTTCCTGGTATGGCTGAGGGTGGAGAGAGGTTGCCCTCCCTCTCAAAATGCTCTCACATGGCCACGCGTATACAGCCACTGCCAGGGAAGTCCTACTCACTGTATTCTCGCGTCGGTGTTGTTTACGAAACCGAGAGGACGAAAAGTGAATGTCCGGCGCTTTAACTGGGTTGGTGGACGCGGAGGATCCACAAAAGGGAGTCGAAAGACCTTGGTTGCAAACCAACGGTACATATGGGTTCCAAGATCCTGAGGGAACAAATGGCATATGAACCGATTACTGGTCACTGGCTACCATAAGACTGCATCTCCTGACCTTTCCCCACTGCCTTGTGGATCAGACCTTTAGGTTGAAGGCTCTCAGTGTGTCCCCTAAGAAAACCACTTGCTTCGGTTTGGGCACCTCGGTAGTATCACAGCCCACACACAAAAGTGACTTGTGTGGGGCATATGTATCTGGTGCCCCTTTGCACCGATATTTATGTGTTCAAATAAATAATTATATCTCCAAAACTTCGCTTCAAGAAGAGTGGTAACCTAATCAACCGTCGATATCACTCCTTTCTGTTCACCATATGTATATATTCCTTCAAGAAACTTTGTGGGTTACCCACAAGGCCTTCAGTCAGTCAGTAATCATCAGAAGAGCCTGTCAGAGATGTGAGACGCCCAAAGTTGTCATAACACATGAGCACGATGGGATGGAAATAACGACGTAAATACTGAAAAAGGTCAAGTTAATTTCTGAACTTCTGGCAATAAATTCTCATTTGCACTGAGACGGGCATTAGTATCAAAGCAGAGTTCCAAAGTAAGTCCTCATCAAGCAGTATCGCCGAGATATTATAACTAGAGGGTAAAACGAATATTTTCAATAAATATGAATTGTAATTTCATAATTACTGAGAATAATAAGTGATTGACGACAACTAGTAAAAAAAGCCCATATTTTTAGTAGTGTATGAATTCGTGCTTTTCAAAATCACATAACCTAAGGTACGAGTAAGCTTAACTGACTCAAAAACTCAAAAGGTTCATACCACCAAAAATAATTTATCCATGTAGGCAAATAGCCAAGCATTCAATAACACTAGGAGCAGAAACAGTAAAAAACCTATTTTAAAAGTGAAATACTTTACAATAAACTTGTTTCTAAATCATGATTTGATCTGGAGGACAAGTTACTCTAATATTATAAAGATAATGGCAAAATTATTGTGAATGTAAACACTAAATAATGTGATTTAACTCACTTCTTTTTTAATACTGCAGGATCATGTGCTGACCAGGCTGTTCTAGATGACTGCCAATTAGGATTGGGTTGCAATTTTGACGAATGAGTACCACCGTTATTATTATCTTCAAAATCTGAACTAAAACTACGGGCACGACAGATGGCTGGATTTTGAATAGAAGTAGGATTATTAAGCTGAGTTCTGGAACATTCAGATGGGTGTTTACGACGACAATATCCACCACGCATGCGAACACCTTTGCGTGATGCTGAAGGACTTTTACTGGCTGAGGGAATCATTTCTTGGTATTGCCATGGCTGGTATAATGCTGACTTAGGAGGAATATTAGTGTTAGCTGAAACCGAAATTTGTGTTTCCCTCAAAAGGTCGGCTACAATCTGTGACGCTGAAGAATTATTCCACCAATTATCTGAAAATGTATACTGGCCTTGGGAAGTGTTTATCAATAAATTCATTGGTGAAGTATTGGTAGTTAGATGATAACTGGAAGGGATACTGTTAGCATGATATACATTTTCCAAGCTACTATGATCATTCGTTAATTTATTCTGCATGCCTGGACCAGATGTACGACGATGACGATAATCAGAAACATTGGTAAATAGATGAGAAAACTGACTGCAACTTTTATCATCATTAAAATGTTTAGAATTCCATAGTATGGATTGAGTAAAACCATTTTCTTTAGGATACAACAATTTGAAGTTGCTAGGATCAGTGTATTCGTTATTATTTACAACTTGATACTGTTTTTGTTCAGAGGAGGCATTCTGCAAAATCCCAAAGTTTTTATATCTCGAAAATGAAGGGTCAACCGGTACACAAAAAGGAATGTTTGCTTTGTTATGACGTAGTTGATCAAACTGCTTTGATGGTGAGAATGATGAATTGCTCCACTCTGAATTCTGTGCATTTAGATTTCCTGGTGAGAATGCTGACGCTAAACAAGATGGTAAAGAAAACGCTACATCTGTAGCGACGGGTAATATTGGATGACATGGATAAGCAACTAAATTGGGCGAGTGTGTAGCATTCTCACAAGACATATTGAAACTAATGGGTACACTTGAAGAAATATTAGATAAAGGGTTACTCGAATCCATCATATTAGTCTGTGTCTTTGAAACTTCATTTGAGATGAATTTTGGTTCACCTGGAGAACATACTTCTGCGCCAATTAGTAGCTCTCCGCAGCTGGAGCACCAGTTGTTGTCTTTAGAATAAAAACTGTTGCACTTAGGACACGTGAACGTTTTCCTACCAGACATGTGCTTCTGTGTGAAATCTTGTGAATCATCCTTTACGTTTTGGAATTCATTCAGATATGCGCTTGATGTTAGACCACAGCTATTGGAATACGACCTAGGATAGTTCATCAGATTATCGTTAACAGAATCAAATGGGAGAATATTACAATCTGGATACAAAACTGACAAATTCCCATCCATTATGGGCAAATATAAAGAAGCATAGAGTGAAGTAAGTTGAGAGCATATATCTGAAAAACAAAACAATAGAACTTATTGAAAAATCAATGTGAACATATTCCTGTTTATTCAATATACATTAAAGAGTAGGAGTTTTAACTGAAAGCAAATCCATGAAGGCAATTTAGTCTTAAAAGTCTATATTCATTTTAATACGTCAAGTTGATAGATTCACGATAAAAGTTAAGTATATCTGAATTGTTATTAAATTAATAAAATCTAGTGATAACACCATGCAGCTCAAAAGTGGAACTATGTATAGATTTGTATGATGAAAGCATAAGTGACGAGTCTAAATCTACTGCAGTGGTATAGACTCCAGTATTCATTTAAATTTTGAACATTACATCCTATTCTCCGAACATGTTGTTTCTCTAGTTTTTTATTACACTTGCGATTCTTCGCTGTTTACCACTTCAATGTCTCAATCTGCTTATGTGACAACTCGGACACATACAAGCAGAAGTAAAAATATGCGTTGCCTTGCATCAGTTAGAAACAATCTACGGACTCGGAGAGTAACCGTTCCATTCTTGTCCGAAGAGTGCTTTAGGTGATTAGTTAGTAATCAATATCTAAAAACTGTGATAAAAGAAACTAAAATGGTGGAGATTTGTAGCTTAGGTAGAGCTGCTCAGAGAACAAAAGTCCATCAAGACAAAAGAAACTTCCTGATGAATTTGAAACGAAATTCTATTATCAAGTGAAAATTTAAATCGTGCCAGGAAATTCTTACGAATCAGTAGCAGTCTATAAGTTAAAAGTCGTTGAAATTGTGGTTAATCAATAGTTCCATAAACCGAAAATGTGTCCCATCATCTGTCTTCAAAGGATTCTTAACATCCTGTTGGAGTTCGATGTAACTAGTACTGGGATTTGACAATGTGTTCGAGCGCAATGACGATAATTCAGTTGTCATCTTGAAACATCCGCTTTACTAGCTTGGATATATTTTATAGTTATCATCTCGGCGACTTCAACATCGTGCTTTACTTGTCAGCGATGATATGGTGTGGAAAAAGCAGTGATCAATTTATGACGTGCCGCTGTTATGTGAAAGGAAGATGTTTGAGACTAGGGTTTACTGATCCATCATAAGTCTAGAGTTGGCATCCCAGAGGAAGTGCGATTCATTGGCTTGAGACACTATCACAAATGGCTCAGAATAGACCACAGTGGTTGTAGTTTTCGCACTCACAAAAGTAAAAAATCGCCTAAATGGGATTTTGGTCGTATTTTTAGCTGAATTATGTCTCCTATAATTCTTGTTCACGATATTTCTTCGTAATTTCAACGCATTATTTTTAAGGCAAATATTTATTTCGGTGACCAGTTGTTTCAGTATTTGTGTAACATACTACCTTACATCAATCTCCTCGTTATTGTTCTTTTTTGCGCTCCTTAGCTTTTTTTCTATTTCTCTTCGAATTCTCATTGTTTTGTGTGGCGCATATATATTGGCGCTCTCTTGTACCAATATTCATGTGTTCAAATAAATAAATAAAATTCCAGGTACAAACCCAGATTTTCGCTAGTTAGTAAATAGAAAACTAAATGAACACAGGCTTTCTTAAGTAAACCGAAAAAACAGCTACCGATTGTTCGATCACAAACTATTTCAAACATCAGTTTTCGGAGGATCGCTTTGCAGTATTGAAGTTTCTGGCCAAATTTGAAGATATTTATGGGATGAGGACATATCAGAATACCCAACGACCAAAACGTTTATAACCAATGATTTATGTAACACAAGTTAAATTAATTACAGTCATTGAAAGGCGTACATCAGAAGTACATAAACCTTGTGAAGGCTCTTTACTCGAAAACTACTAGTCGAGTCAGGGCTTATGGCGAACTGTCATCTTTTGCAACCTCAAGTGGTGCCCGTCAAGGCTGTCCACTTTCTCTATTTTTGTTTAACTTCATCATAGACCTATTGATGGAAATAACATTCTCGTCTACTGAATTCTCGGGTATTGATCTTCTTCCAGGAGGTCCGCTTACCGACTTAGAATACGCAGATGACACAGTCCTGTTTGGTGAAGACGCTGACAAAATGCAGTCTTCTGGTAGCACTAAACAATGCCAGAATGTTCGGGATGCGCTTCTCTCCCTCTAAATGCAAGTTGTTGCTTCAGGAGGTTATATCAACACAGCGAGATGGAACTATCTAGTGGTGGTAGTAACGGTAGTTGGAAGGATAAGGGGCAACTTGATCTGAAGACGAATTAGTGGACAAAAAGCAAGAAATTTTAAAACTCCAGTTTTAGGGGAAGACAATCAGTAATCTGCATTTACCTATGGACAGTTAATGACCGCGTACTGAAACGTATTAATTAGGAACAATGAGTGGATTTCAGCAGCGTCTACTGAATTGTCATATTTTTAAAAATCATACCGTCTGACTCCAAACACGACGGCGAAAGAGTGGTACTTAAACGTAAAATGTAAAACAGTTTACGCAAAGATCTGAAGCAACAGTGAGCAGGTGAAAAAAAGCGATGAGAAAGTTGGCGGTGATAAGCAACAGTAAAATGTCAGAATCATCAAGCCAGCTAGTCACGACATGAAGCCTGGTACGTATGTATATTGGTTTAAGATGACCCACTCCAATAGCACAATGAGATTAAATTGTCAGGTCGAATCTCAGAATTGCCGACGAAACGTAATATAAATTTGAGTTAGTGAGAACATATGCGACAATGACTCGATGGCCAGAACACTGATGGACTAAACCCCAAGATCTTTAGGCGTGTTGGTCTAGACCAAGCTGTTAAATCGACTGAGATCCTAGCTAGTTTGGAAACTGGATGAAATTCTATTTGGCTGGTCTTGATCATTCTAGTTTACAAAGAAAATCACCTAGTGATAGCCATACAGGAGTAAGTATGACTAATAATGCCCAAAATATTTGCCTCATTGACCATCCAGGCTTAAATATGGCTAATAATGAGTAAACCCAGTAAAACCGGACTGGTCTCAGGCACACACATACATACCTAACGAAACCCAACCATAATCGTAACTATTGGCCGTGCGGTGGTGCCCGACTATTTAGATTAACAGGTCTTAATTCGGAGGCTGTAACTGATTGATGTAGCAGAGGAACACCAACCTTGTGCAGGTTTTCTACTCGAACGCTTCTTATCAAGTCAGGGTTTATGAGGAATATCCGTTGGAATTGATAGCCTTAAGTATATCAAGGCTGTATTTTTTACTTCTCTAATAATACAGTATTTACTCACCTTAAATATATTTTACACAAAAGTCATTTAATTTGTCAACGGTGACCACCCATTTTAAAACAGATTACACACAAAATACTTGTTTTGCTTCGTATTTAAAAACATTATATTGAGCTTTAAGCATCTTGAATTAAATCCCACTATTTAAAAGCCTCGCAACCGTAAGCCAAAAATAAATAGCGACTCACCATCACAGGAAAGTTCTCGAGCCCGCCGGAGGTAGATCGACGTTTTAGTAGACTGTTTGAATCAACTTCCTAATCCAATATCCAATGTCTTTGTTATCACTTAGTATAAACTGAGTGATTTCCTTAAACCTAAATCCTTGTAGATGGAGACATTTCCGAGTTACTGTGTAAGCAGTCTATCGAGAAAACTGAATTTAGTATTCCACTGATACGATTCCGTAGGTCTTGAGTTAAGTTTCAGATTTGTTCATTGAACACAGAAACTTGATGTTATTCCTTTTCTAGCAAGCTTATGAGGGTGTCTAATCTTCTCTTGAACGAGTTAATTTGAGGTCCGAACATCAAGTCTTCAGTAAACGGGTTCCAACAACTGATAACTCAGTGTGAAAACTAATATTCCACTGGTATTTTGATAGTTTCTAGTTTCTGTACATTCCTGCCACGTCCTCTGAGTTATCCCGATCTATAAGGAGAGAGAAGAGAGTATGCATCGGGTCCAAAATCATTTCTCAGTATTCTACACTTCAAAGTCATATCACCTCTTCATCTGCAGTAGGAAAAGTTAAGGAGGCAACTTCTCAAGCCGCTATTTTACAGTAAACATTGGAGTTCTGCAACAGCACGAGTAACTGTCTTCTGTACTTTTCCCACGATACTCGAGTCACCCTTGAAACAGTATCTTGCAAGTTCAAGTTCGGATCTCACTAAGGTTTTCTATATTGTAGCGAATATATTCGTGCCTATTTTGGTGAATGTTCTTCCTCAAGCCCACGTGGCTTTAGAGCACTTAGCTGAGGCTCGCCGTAATACACTGTGGTCATAAAACTTTGGCTCATCAATAACCAAAGATCACTGTGAGAAGCAACTACGGACAATGACTCTTCCGTTATAGTGTATCTATTTACCTTTTCATTCTCAATGTGCATGTAGACACACTTGGTTATTTGGTCTAAATCCATTGTAATTGGATCCATAGGATGGTTACAGTCGATTGGATGTTCAAGTATGGAACTTCTAACTGCTTTTCTGTATCAAGATAGTTAGCAACCGCCTGTGGTTTGTCCTGATCTCCTTCCATCATATGAGATACACTCACTTCAACATTTAGATCGAGAATCTAATACCACGTCCTTGTTCTGTCATTTGCGTACGAGAGGAGTCTCTTCAACTACTTGATTGGAGAATAAGCCGACTGGTCTTCAGTTTTCTCCCAGCTGTCCGAATTGTACGTAAACACTCGTTTCGTATCGACCCGTGTCGAACTGCTGTGCCAAGACAGACATAGACGTTCGAACGTTTCTCCATTCGTCTTTGTAAACATCCTGGTCTGTCCACAGACGGTCATGCTTCATATGTTTTGAGTACAAATGGTTGTGTTACTTATTCGTACAACTCGCGGTAACGTGTTCATGCATCTTCCACTGATACACCAGAGTCAATTTTACAGTTTTCAGTGGAGGATGAAGAATCGAATGCCTTCAATTCTGTGTTCCCTAAATTAGGACGAGGTTGATGCATCAACTTGATAGACTATTTCATTCATGAATTTGAATAAAATGACCCCATCACCACATCACCTTAAGTGTAGGAGGGGCATTATTCCACAGACATCATTACTGTGTGTGAAAACCAAGTTGAATACAAATGAGGATTTTCGTAGTTCATATCTGGTGGAATCTAATGTGCTGGAATAAAACTGAGGTAATTGTGGTTTCAAACAATTTGTAATCAAACTATGTTCTAGATAACCCTACTTCCGAATTTCCACAGTTTATAGAGTATGCACTAAATTCACCTAGTATGGGAAACTAGAGACGTTTGTCCAGGATTCAATTTCAAATAAGAGTGATTTGTCCACCTCACATTCTGGGCTGGGGTATACTACAACTAATTCACTGTTTTGTCCTGTGCATTTCGGTCGGCAGCGCACTAGCTCACATATTTTTCAGTCGTGTGCTACTGTCGTGACAGCTCAGTTGATTAAGGTGCATTCTGTGTAGAGGTTAACCTGACCACCTACACGGTTAGGTTAACACGTCTACGATGTAGAACTAGGATATCATTCGAGAAGATAAATATTGTTACGAGTGCAATAAATCTTTACCTAACGAAAGTTTGATGAGGGTCTCGTTAGATAAATGTCCTTCACGAAACTTACAAAACAGGTTCATGTGGTTCTCCTTCCGTTCTAAGATAACGCCATTAATAGACTAACTTCACTCTACGAGAGCATAAGGACCGCCAAGATTGGGGTTATCCTTTTCAAAAACTCTCACAATACCGTAAACGGAACCACGGATATCTGAATCACGCTTTTTCTCTGATTACTTGTCAAAATAATCGAGATTATCTTTGTACAAACCAGAAGAGCAAAGTCATCATTATCAGTTTTGGTAGTATCGCACACTCGTTGAGTCATCCCGAAGCTGTAGAAGACTCTGAAGTTTCTAAAACAATCTCTTGAGTGAATCGCCCACCAAGCACTCGTTGATGGCAACTGTAGCAGACGAATCTATTCCTTGAAGACAAGGTAGGAGTACGAGTTCTTCCTGCATATTTAAATGATCGTTAACAAGACCATGTTTTTAATCTGGTGTGCCAAATAGAAACTCGATCAACACATAAACTAAAAGCATGCGCATGTAAATGTATGTTTATGAAAACTCCTCTGGTAAATTTCCGTTGTCGTAAACATCTCAGTGCTATTCGTTGGCAAGGGTCAACTAGAGCACCATGATCTGGTGATCAAATTCAACAAACGAGTGACAAAAATGACGACAACTAATCTTCCTCATCTCATTCTGAAGTGAAACTCATCAGGGCGTAATCGCAACCACCAATACATCCAGTGCTTTCAGATGTTCATTAGTGGTCTAGATAAAACCAGGCTGCAAAAAGTCTGCAACGTTCATGAAACCCTCCTAATCAAGAAGAATTATTTGTCTTCAATTTTGTTTTCTAGTTACAAGATATGCCCTGACATGATCAATCATCCAGTCAGTCCTTAATTTGAACTGATGCATGATAAGTATGCTCAACTTTACAAACTATCTGTTATTACCGTGTGTGAATAACAAAGTGTCACACCACATCATTACTCTATGAATATCTGTATTCATGAATGTACGTCGACTAGCTGCTACGAAACTAAGATGTGTTTAATCGTATGATGAATTTAAGGAGAGTCCGCCCATTCAACTATCCATGAGCACTCCTATTCCACGTGGTCCGTAAAGGGAAAAAAGTTACTGGATTACTATGGAAATTGGGACCATGATTTCGAAAGTTGACTCGTCCAAGGCGATTTTTCAAATTTTAGTGACTGCTAGCAATATTTCGAACGGAGTCACTACCACTCCCATCGATTTCTGCAAGTTTTCACATGTGAATTTTTACTGAACAATGCGAATTAAACTATTCAGCAATTTATCAGTGATATTTATTTATTCGTATATAAAGCGCTTGTCCATCCATCTTTTGTTGTGTTCCTTACCTCGAATCCAGGTTTGCGCCTATCGTTACAGGAGTAGAACAAGAGGAGTACCGGTTGAAAGTAACGATGTCGTTTACCGTTAACATTAGCTTATAGAATTACAGCCCAGTCTAGAGATTTTGAACCGTTCTCTTAACTAATATACATGTCACATGTTTAGGATTTATATATTTGCTTTGCATCCTTGAGACATTTTTATGTTCGGTGAATCAATCTTCTGCCCTGGGCTGAAAGCATACACTGAGTGTGATCATGAGTGACCTTCAATAGAAATCGGATCCTTTCACAAAAGCAGCATGGTTTTAGAATAGGTTATTCATGTCTCACTAACTTATTGTTGGCTCGTGAAAGCTGATACACGCTTAAAAATCAAAAGTTACCTGTTGCATGATAAGTAACACTGAGCTACTTGTTGTCCAGACAAACGATGTCTTAGGGGTCGTCGTTAGCCAAGACTTGAAGACTACTGCGCACTGCCGTGCAATAGTCACCAAAAGTTTTACAACATTATGGTCGATAGGTGGTGCCTTGAGTCAAGCCAACGCCAATAACTTTTTGAATTTGTATAGACAGCTTATGCGTCCTAAATTTGAGCACTGCATACAAGAGACTAGTTCCTGAGTAAAAAAGACAGTGAGCTTCTGGAAAAGATTTAGAGAACAGCAAATAAGCTGATTCCCTGAATGGCGAAGCTCACGTATGATGCTTGATGTGATTACTGTTTTCAAGTTACGCAGTGAAAAATGTGTATTTGATATGCTCTCATTTTTCTTATCATCCAAAACAGAGAATTTACGAGGACAATCCACAAACGTTCACAAACCCAGAACAAATTACTTGTCAGCTGACTATCGAATTTCCAATCGAGTCATCAACGAGTGGAATTTGTCGAATTATGGTCTACTATGACATTAGTACTGCTCTAATAATAGACCTAATCCTAAAGTAGTAGATTTGTCATGATATAACTGCCTAATCTATAAGATCTTACGTGGAAGTCACATCATCTTCTACACCAACTCACTGTATCATAACAATTACCAATACATGATGGAGAACAAGCGTAGGCTAGAGAAAGAACAATATATTTAATATGAATAGAAGATATAAGGTAACATTCAGCAGAGACCACGCCTGCATGGCCGAGACATGCCATTCGATCAACTCCCCATTCATTCAATTCCTTGTTCGCGCCTTCTCCATCGTTAGGTATTTCTCCGCGTTAAATATTGAATATCTATTTTCCGAATAGTCTCGTTTTCAGCTTTGAGGATTGTGTGGTTATGGTCCAATGCCACTACAAATTCATTACTTCGGCATGTGGTTAAGGCTCTATTCATCGACTGTCTTAAAAGAAAGTTGGATCACCTGTGGACCATCGTTGCCAGGACTAACTTACTTTACTTACTTACGCCCGTTTCTCCTAATGGAGCATAGGCCACCGTCAAGCATCCTCCAACCCACTCTGTCCTGGGCCTTCTCTTCTAGTTCCATCCAATTCTTGTTCATTTTTCTCATATCTATCTCCATGTTTTCTTTGGTCTTCCTCTTCTCTTCCGCTGGCCTTGAGGATTCCATGTGAGGGCTTGTCTTGTGACGCAGTTGGGTGCTTTCCTCAATGTGTGTCCTATCCACTTCTAGCGCTTCTTCCTGATTTCTTCCTCCACTGGGATCTGGTTTGTTCTCTCCCACAGTAGGTTGTTGCTGATAGTGTCTTACAAACAGATCCAAAGTATTTTGCATAGACAACTGTTAATAAACACTTCTACCTTCTAGATGATGGCTTTCGTAGTACTCCAAGTTTCCGCCCATACAGTGGAACTCTCTTGACATTTGTATTGAAAATCCTGACCTTGGTGTTGGGTGACAGTTGTTTTGAGTTCCAGATGATCTTCAGTTGTAAATATGCTGTTCTTGCTTTTCCGATCCGCGCCTTCACATCTGCATCAAATCCACCCTGTTCATCAATGATGCTGTCCAGATATGTAAAGGTTTTCACATCTGCCAGGACTAACACAGGCTATCAAGCTTTCTATCCCTTCCAAACTAGAACTGAAACTGAAATTCATTAGGCCTTAAACAAATGTTTGAGACAGGACCATGTTATCCGTAATATATAATAATATCATTGTAAATCATTTTTGTAAACGAAAGTTACGAATCATTTTAATTGCAGTTTGTTATACGTAACCGGAATTAGTAAATTATGCTTGTTATCAGGTTGTAACGTAGAGTTTATGTAATGAAGTGCATAGATGCTATCATTCGATTAAGTTAATTGTACTAATATGATCCACGCACTTTCTATTGAATCAGTTTATGTCTAAATAAAAAATAAACAGTAAACACTGACAGCTTATACCAGTGTTTTTTTCCTATAAAAACAATGAAATTTGCAAGAAAAGTGCAGTTTACATTCTATGTTATTCATTCAACAAATTATGGATAGAATAAACATACCAGTTCAAATTACTAAAATAGCTATATATGGAATTGAACAGTAAATTATCGTAGAGTATGCACATTATCATAACTCAGTATCCAAAAAACCTAGCTGGGTGAAAATGGATTGAAAAAATGGAATACATCAATAGATATCGAAAACTGAAATCGCGTATTTGACAAGTATGAAACGAGAGGAATCTACTTTGGAATCCTGATACATTGAGGCAATCAATCATTTGTCATAGGTGAATACAGGCTAATTGTCGTTCTTTACGAACGAGACATTTAATTGATTAAATATGTTGCTTAATTTTCTAAGGGACATTTTTATGTATATAGATAAGTGTACAGATATTTCTTGATTTCGTTTGACCAATACAGCTTACCTCTAACTCTTGGTTCTTCTGCTCAGTAATTGGTTTTATAATGCATACGGTAAGCATATTTTTCAGTACAGGAATAGACTTACTTTTGCTTTATATGACTGAAAGTAACCTTTACCAGAATAACAAATTCTCAATGAAACTGAAATATTTCTCATTATACCTATGATAATTATCATAATTGACATATGACAGAACAGAATTTGTTTATTACTAACAACCATCAATTCGCACAGTTACTCAGCACGCATGACTGATTCCGCAATCCTAATTTATCGTAACCACTGAGTATAGATAGTCACATTTTAACCTAAGCTAAACACACTAAAGAAGGCACCACGTTTCTGAATTTGATAAATCGTAAATACTAATTCAGAGTACAAGAAGATCAACAAATTACTAGTAAGGAGCTTATTGAAGCTTCGTCGACTAATGAACATGATCGCCATTACTTTGACACATTCCAAAAGTGTATTGCTGGTTTACATACGTCTGTTACCCCTCATGGATGGTCATGGGCCAACCACCAGCATTCTCCACCTAATTCTGTCCTGAGCGATCCTTTTCAGTTCTTTCTAGTTGATGTTGATCCTTTTTATGTCTGCTTCCAAATCCTCACGCAGTGTTTACTTCGGTCTTTCTCTTTTCCGTTTCCATTAAGAACTCGATGTTGGGCTTGCCTCGTGATGCAGTGTGATGATTTCCTCATTGTGTGTCTTATCCACCCCCAACATCTTTTCCTAGTTTCCCTATTCGACTGGAAGTTGATTCGTTCTCTCCCACAGAACTCTGTTGCTGATGGTATCCGTCCAATGGATAATGAGTACCTTACGTAGGCAATTGTTTTAAAATACTTGTACCTTTTCGGTGATGGTTGTAGTAGTTCTCGAAGTTTCAGTTCCGTACAGTAGGACTGTCTTGACGTTTGTATTGAAGATTGTGACTTTGGTATTGGTTAATAGTTGTTTTGAGTTCCACATGTTCTTGAACTGTAGGAATGATGTCCCTGCCTTTGCAATCCTTGCCTTTACGTCTGCATCAGATATAACTGGTTTATCGATGGTGCTTCACAGATGCGTAGAGGATTAAACCTTTCCTAGAGTTTCTACATCTAGTGTGATTGGTTTAGTTGGTGTTCACTTTTTTGTATTTGAGGACCTTGGTTTTTCCCTTGTGTATGTTGAGGCTTACTGTTGCAGAGCCTGATGCTACACTAGTAGTGTTCATCTGCCTTTGTTAATGTGTATGAAATAGAAGAGCTAGCTCATCTGAGAAGTCCAAATCATCTGGTTGTGTGCAAGCTGACCCTTCTATTCCGTAGTTCCCAAACAACGTATTAAATAAGATGAAAGACAAAATTGTTTCATGATATATTTCAAGTAAGCAGTTCAAGCTATCCGACTAGTAGCAAGCGTAACGTGTGTATAGTTACACCTACGGGAATAAGTACAAAAGTGATAAATGGAATTAGGAATGATGCACTTAAATTTCGAATGAAAGTAAATCTTTAACGAGTCTGAGTTGATGTGAGGCTGGCACGAAGAACACTGTTTTATATATATGTATAACAGTATTCTTCATTTCAGATAGAAGTGAAGTGTTCGAAAGCTCCACAACCAAACCATTCAGCTCCGAGAACAAAACTCTATCAAAATCATCCACTTGAGCTACAAATCTCCTCCACCATCTTATAATACATGATGTCTAAATACGAATGCCTTTCTATAATAGCTGGTTAATAAAAATAATGATTGACCTTACTCATTTTTCTTTATTCACTGTATGAGAAGTCTGAGTAAACCTGACCTACCTAATCTAATTTTAATGCATTTTCGAGGTGTATTCAAGTAAAAGTATTTGTCGGTTTAATAATCTTATTATCGAGAAATTAGTCTGGGTGAAAAATTAAACAAGCCGAAATGAACCTTCATTCCTAATCAGTCTATTAGCCGCTAGATTCGAGAAGTCCCATTTTGAAGTGAATTGAGTAAGATTCCATATGATTACAGTATGCTTAACACTTCTAGACATCTCCTTAAACACCTACTTAAGTTTCATATTTTCAAGAGTCTAGGAATATCCAGATTACAAAAGCTTAAACATAGTGTTTGGTACATAATTAACATTAATCAATATATACGGTCTTGTAAAATCTTTTGTTACTGAGTACTACACAGAATGCATACTACTTTGTTCAATGTTCGATATAGTCAACTGGCCTGATCAGGCAACTGCAAAATGAATACTTGAATTTCCGAAGCTGCTACACAAACAAAAATCTTATAGCACAATGTAACAGATCATTTTTAATCCGTGATTTTAATATATGAACATGGGTAACGATCAAAGTTCCTAACGAAACATATGCCTGGAACAAAACCCGAAGTCAAATCACCGACGGTATTGAAAAAGCGTGTATTCCTGAAGTTTAAAGGTGATGTAGCCAGTGAAGTAGTAATTCAGCGTATGCAAAAGCTTTGAGAAATACATTAACTGAAGCAAAATTACGCTTTACGTTTTCCAACCACCCGATAGTGATTTCAAAAAGTATGGATGAATAGTCTAGTTCGTCTCCCCGTATGTGTATCCACTGCCTGAGGTGAATAATTGTCACACTATACACCGATTCCATTTCATTGGTCAAAGTTCATCACTAAAACACCAGGAGTTACATCTTGAAGCTAAACACCAGTACTTCTAGGTTTTCAATGGTGGTTTAACTTAAATTGACTTGTGATTTCAACAGCGAAAATACTATAACCTCCACAAATCCCCATACTGATAAATTCTGTTTACGTGCTAAGTGCAGAAAACCAAACATGAAGCAAATGAATGAAAGTGCAAACAATAAGTTCAGATCAGATATGAGAGAAATCTATTATATGGAAATATGATTAATTACATTCAAATACTAAAATGTAACTAGAATATATCAGTTTGGGATAAATATTTTTGAGGTTGATAATGCATTGTCAACTGATAATTGTGGATGTGAAGGATAAATTACCCTTGGTGTAATTGATAAACAAACAGAAGTTAAATCTAAAAAATAATCCTCCTTGAAATACTTTATTAATACCACAATGAATGTTGGAAAACCTTTCGCCTTTCGTGCAAATGCTTCAGCATGACTTACAGATTCCTGTAAAGAAATTAACACATGTCAACAAGATGAAGACATATTATGCAAAATTTATTCGAAAATACCTCTTTAAAGTAATCTGTTAACTTTGATAACAATGACATAACTACATAAAACTCTCCCATTTCAAGAACTAGAAAACATGTGAAACACTTCACAGCAATAGCAATTGACCAACGGAAATGCTAAGAAACATATCATAACTAAAATGAAAACAACTTTTAAAATCATTTACTCACAAATGAGTTTTACTGGTTATTCATCATGATTTTAAAAACTACACAGTAAAATACACAATAATAAGAATCGTTCAGTTCAAACAACAGTTAGCAAAAATCCCTGTGCCAAGTGGTCGTTTTTAAATGTAGTCCATAGATAAACCCTGAACTTTGGTCTCGTTCAATTTTACACTTGCAAGTAAGGTGTACCAACCCCCGAAAGCTATCAGTTGATATCTCAGCATAGCGCACACGATGTCAAGTCGCTTAGATTATGAATCACATCTCAAATTGATCAATAAAATCCAACTAGTACTAATCAGGACAAGGCACACATGACAACGATTACTATTCAGTGGTCATTTAATTTTAAATAATTCGTATGTTCACCATCCAGCTACATGCCTCAGGCGAGTGAAGATTAATGGAAAAGGATAGATAGTTAATATCAATGCATTTGGTAGACTTAGAGTTACATGAAATGAATGCATATTAAATATATTGATGAGATGATTTCTGTTCGGTAGAAATACAGACAACAACACTGAAATAAGTAATGAAATTTAAGGTAAAATCTATAAACGAATGTGTGGAAGACGAATATAATAATCGATGGTCAATTAATTGAGATGTTGATCAATGGACCAGTTGAAAGATTAGGAAGGTTCTGATAGTGTTAGAAGAAGAAAGTAATCGTGATCTCAATATTAGGGTGTGTGAACATGTACCTAAATGGTTGCAGAAACAAATAAAATTAAATGATCCAATAAGGGTAGAGGATAAACATCCATCGTCGTCTATTGCCAAACACATAATTGAAACAGGTTATAAGATCGATTTTAATTAGGCTTTTGTGATGTTGTGAAAATGTGTAAAAGAGTGTATACTAAGGTTTATTGAAGCCTTAGCCATACGAAAATTCAAACCCCCTTTGTGCAGTCAAAAACTATCTGTTCTCATCCTAAACCTACCCTGGTAATATTAGTTCATTATCAAGAGTTCTGAGGTTTCAAACTGTTTTCATATTATTTTCTTTACTATCTCTTACACTTCATTTCAAGTCTAGTTGACCTAAATGTTCCTAACATGTATATTATATGTGATCAGATTGTTCGAAATGTATTGTACTGATATATATATTATCACATAGTTCTGTTCATCTTCGTCTTCTTAATTACACTATCGAAATTTATCAAAGGCACTAATTACACAGATTGAAATCATGAGTCAATTGAAGCTAGACCACCATGGAAAACCTGGAAGCACTGGATGGCCGTTTCGCCCTAGTATGGGACTCCTCAGTCGTGTGCATCCACGATCCCGCACCCCGCGAGATTCGAACCCAGGACCTATCAGTCTTGCACCAAGCGTTTAACCAACTAGACCACTGAGCCGGCATCCAACTAATTACTTTGAATAAGACGATGTTGGGCCGACCGCTATTCATCAATCTGGAAAACAGTAATTACTACTTTAAGTGAAAATGAAACTTGTATAGCGCACGTAATATCGAGAAGCTTTATCTAGAATAATTATGAAATTCATTTCAGTAGATCTGTTCACTACATCCGTGATTGGAGATCATTACATGTTTACTGCCCAAATATATTAAAAGTTATCAGTTGAATCTAGGTCATTTCAATTTATGCATTCATATGTAAATAATACATGAATAAGTAATTATATGTTGGGATATGTGTTTAAAGAGAATGGTTAATGTCATGAAAAAGGATGATGTTTCATATTCAGTGAAAAAGGGGTTAAGAAAGAAATACTTCAAAGTACATTAATAATATTTATTTAATTTGTATTTTATTGATAAAAGTAAACTTACCAGTAAACATCACTTGACATTGTAGCAGAATAGCATAAATTCATTTTTATTCCATTTGATTCTCATCAAATGCTTACAACCTGTGATAAGCATCCTTTTCATGTTACCGCCAATTGTATTTATAAATTTACGTGTACCTGCCAAAGCAGCTACATCGGCCGAACTGAAAGGAGAGCATATCTTAGATTCTTTGAACATGTTCCAAAAGCCTCAGAACAAGAGAAAGAAAGACTCTAAATAGTGCAATCACCAAACATCTTCTTGATACAGGACATCAGGTAGATACCTTACAATCATTCAAGATGATTAGTAAGCAGCCAAACTCCAGTCTTCTGAAGTTTTCTGAAGCAGTTGCTATCAGGCGCCAAAAGCCTGATTTATGTGTTCAAAAGGAGATGGTTACTAATCTTTCCTTGCCTTGGTGATTAATATTCCTTCGTTATATCTTAATAATTTTTTTTCTTTTTCTTTAAACTCTTTCTTGCATTTATTACACCATTGAGTTTTATTCCAACTATCTTATTTTATCAACTGAACTCTACTCATTTTATCAAGGTTTATTTGTTTCTAACCGTTTGAACTGTTGTCACAATGTCCTTTCATCACATAAGGTATATATTTATAATATTCAGTCTATTAAATTTATTTACACTCTTGCTTTACTATACGAATATGTCTTTAATATAACTTCCAATCAAACTCTTTTATGTAAGTCATTTAAACCGATTATGTAATTATGATTCTTCAATATCACAGGTTGTAAGCAGCTGACGAGAACCAACGAAATAAAAATAAATTCATGCTATTCTGCTAGAATGTTTGTTCATTGCTCTTTTCAAAATGATAAAGGGAACTATGTGTATATAATTTGTATTTTATTGATAAAAGTAAACTTACCAGTAAATATCACTTGATGTTGTTTTACTTATATCTTACCATTGTTATTTAGGACTGAAATTGACCAGTCTCTTATTGGCATGTATACATCCTGTGCGGATTGTCTCCCAATGGAACATAGGCAGCCGACTAGTATTCTCCAACCCACTATTTCCTGGGCCTTCTTTTCTAGTTCTATCCAATTGTTGTTCATTCTTCTTCCTCATCTCCTTTGCACTTGAGGATTTCAAGTGAGGGCTTGCCTTATGACTCAGCTGGGATCTGATTTGTTCGCTCCCACAGTAGGTTGTTGCTGATAGTGTCTTACAAACAGATCCAAAGTATTTTGCATAGACAACTGTTAATAAACACTTCTACCTTCTAGATGATGGCTTTCGTAGTACTCCAAGTTTCCGCCTCATACAGTGGAACTCTCTTGACATTTGTATTGAAAATCCTGACCTTGGTGTTGGCTGACAGTTGTTTTGAGTTCCAGATGTTCTTCAGTTGTAAATATGCTGTTCTTGCTTTTCCGATCCGCGCCTTCACATCTTCATCAGATCCACCCTGTTCATCAATGATGCTGTCCAGATATGTAAAGGTTTTTACATCTTCCAAATCTTCTCCGTCAAGTGCGACCCCATTGGTGCAAGGTGTGTTATGTCAGAGAATCTTGCTTTTCCCTTTGTGTATATTGAGACCTACTGCTGTTGAGGCTGCTGCTACACTGGTCGGCTTCTCCTGAATTTGTTGCTGAGTTTGCGATATAAGAGCCAGATCCTCTGCGAGGTCTAGATCGTCCATCTGCATCCAAGATGTATACTGTATCCCGTCTTCATAATTCAGTCGATTACCAGAAGGAAGAGAAAGGGTGAGAGTAAGCAACCTCATCTGACACTGGTCTTTACCTCGAATGAGTCTGTCAACTGTTCTTCATACAAAATTTTGCAGTTTAACCCATCATAGGAATTCCATATGATTTTGACTATTTTCTTAGACATGCCGTAGTGTTGAAGAAGCCTTCATAGTTAATAGTTGAGTTAAGAAGTTACTTTAGAAAAACAATTTATCGAGTGTATAAGCTGGGAAATCACTTACTTGATCAATATTTATTTGCTCCATTGTTCCCCATTTTATACTAGGATTTTGACGTAAAGCTACTAATTTTTGTACAAGACGAAGAAAGGATTTGTCATTTCCTTCAGCAAGTTCACTCTTTAAGGATAAAGAAGATAGTTATACTCACATTGATTGACAATACTTATTGTACAGTAAAATAACTAAACAACTAACTCATATCAATCAACAAATATGACTTTTCACGCGATATTGAGCCATTTCTTTTCATTCCGATAACTTTTTCAATATTATAAAAGGCGTTTATGTCAATAAAGATTCCAATCAACTGAAAACTGAGCCAACCGGGTAATGAATTCATTCATGACTTAAGTTTATATGACTGCTAACTACACATCTTCATGAATAAATTCAGGCTAGGCTCAACTGCATACTTTGTAAATATTAGAAGTAACTTAAAAACCCAAATTCAATTGGTGTTGGTTTACTCGTATCTTCGCGTTGTTATTTAAGACTGCAACTGACTAGTCTCTTGTTGACGTATGTGCATCGTGTGCGAATCGCCTCGATATGGCCTTAAATCATGAGCTTTTTAAGCAGAGATGGATGGTGGCTAGCAGTGGAATGCAGGACGTGAGTTTCGTCCAATTTGGGACTCGTCAGATGGATGTACCTGCATCTCAGAGTTGATGTTGGGATGGGCTGCAGACACATCCAGCTGACGAGCCCCAAATCGGACGACACGCGCGTATAACTGCAAAGTCTGATGATGAATTTGTTAAAAACAATTATTTTTTCTAATTTTCTTTGGTTTTGAATTATTTGTCATTAAATTGCACTCATGGAGCTGAAATTTGGAGAACTAGTACAACCATCATCAAGAAGGTACAAGTATTCATAAATAGTTGTCTACGCAACATCAAATTACCGGATACAATGAGCAACAGCCTACTATGGGAGAGAACAAACCAGCTTCCAGCTGAAGAGGAAATTAGGAAAAGACTTTGGAAGTGGATAGGACATACATTACTAAAATCCCCAAACTGCATCACGAGGCAAGTACTAACATCTAATACTGAATAGAAACGGAAAAGAGGAAGGCCAAAGAACATATTACGTCGGGAAATAGAAGCAGATATGAAAATGATGAATAACAACTGGGAAGAACTGGAAAAGACTGCCCAGGACAGGGTTGGATGGAGAATGCTGGTTGGAGGCTAATGCTCCTCCACGAAGAGTAACAGGCGTAAGTAAGCAAGTAAGTAAACATGTTTTGGTTACACAGTAGATATTCAGCAAAAGCAGTCAGTTATTCTAGTTGAAAATACATAATTTTAATAAAATAACATTTCGGCTACACAAAGAAAACAAGCATTTGATGAGTGAATACATGGAAGTTACTATATTACTTACTTCAACAACTTTTTTGTTATTATAATAATTGAGATAGTCACGAAATCTCGAATCATTTATTGTCGCCGAAAACCTCCTCCCATTAAAATCCCATGGCATTGGCATATGCGATAACACAGACGAATATTTATCAAATGGTTCATCATTATAACTCTTTCCTTTCGGATAAATACTTTCAGGAAGATATTGCGAAGTGACTCTGTTTACATCAATCTCAGTTCCATAATAAATTACTGGTAGTCCTATAGATAAGATAAAATAGTGGTGAGAAATATATAATATAATAATTCATTTGAGTGAACACATTTCGCAATTTAATATCCTCCATACCTCCAAATGCCCTGATACGGCTGAGAGTGAGGACAGTCAGCTCTCCCTCTCGAAATGCTCTCAAACGGCCACGTGTATACAACCACTTCCAGGGAAGTACTAATCACTGCTTTCTCGCGTCGGGGTGTTGTTTACGAAACCAAGAGGACGAAAAGCGAATGTCCAACGATTTAACCGGGTTGTTGGATACGGAGGATCCACCTAGGGGAGTTGGAAAACCCTGATTTCAAACCAACGGTGCCCATTGGCTCCAATATCCTAAGGAAACAAATGGCATATGAACCAATTGTTTGTCATCGGCTACCATTGGACTGCATACTGTGACGTTGCTCCACTGCCTTGTGGCTTAAACCGTCAGGTTAAAGGCTGGGGGTGTGGTCCCCTAATAAAGCCACTTGCTTTGGTCTGGGCACCCGGGCAGTATCTCAGCCCTCATATAAGTCGAATATCGTCCATAACTAACAAGTGCTCAGTGCCAAGATACCTTATGCAAAATTTCATCATGCTCCCTAAGATACTAGAAGTGGGAAAAACGAAGACAAATCACATACATTCCCTGAGAAGTTGTTCTACAGAAAGAACCTACTAGGATGACTTAAGTCATGTCTGTATCAAGAGATCCGCAAAAGAAGCTGATCTGTTATTTTATATTAAGAATTGCAGATAGTTGTAAAGTATATTTTCACAATTATTCACTGTGATATAAGATAGATCATGTTAGTAAACTTAATCGGTAAACTATTATTAGTTAATTGATTGTTGAGTTTACAATTAACAGTTCTATACCTCATTTCATTATGGATTAGAGTTGACAACACTAGAGATGATCTCTTATCAAACTTAAATGCTGTCAGCTGGTATTTCCGTTTAGAATATCATTGATGATTATGTATTCCGAGAAGTTATTTACTAAATTCAGATTTTAAAGTCACAAGATTGTGGCAACGTGTAAAGTTGTATGGATAATATTAAAAAGTTTTTGTTATTATTTATGTTCCTATACCTGGCAATAACAATGTTGTCGCAAGCTGAAGCGTATCTCCATATGGCGGAATATTAACAGTGCTAGTGGTCAAACCAAGTATCTCTTTGTCGGAATCTGTATATGTGAGATATTTTTGTAGAGCTGTTTGGTTAAATGTTAATGCACGTTCTTTTTCACCTCTCCCCCATACAAATTCGCGACTGATTATTAAATCAGCCACATCTCTGAACATTAACATTGGATCTGGATTATCGCCCACACCACAACCTGTATCACCAGAGTTCACAGCCAATAATCTGTAGAAGATATTGTACAAAGAACAAACAAGTGTTTCTGAGATCATTTACATAAACTGTATGAAATCCAGTAAATTTAAATATGATGTTAATGGTTTGAGCAATAACTAACTCTGTAACAAATTTTATAATAAACGATTGAATGACTCAATATGCAATGTGAATACAAGAAAACACAGATTATCACTAGTAGTTTAATAATTCTGTTATTCAGTAATCTTGTTTAGTAAGCTATGTATCCACTGAACCCCTTAAAGTATTTAACTATTTGTTGCATGTTTAAGAAGTATAGTTTCATTCACTTCCAATTAGATGAGTTTCTATTGATCACTTTATAGGGTCAGAGAAATGTCACTGATTCATAACCAAATCATCCGGCAGTTGGGTCACTGAATATTGAACAGGTCGTCGATCCCTATCAAAGTCAAGGACAACCAACGCTATCAGTTGATCATATGCCATGGACTAGCCAATGTGGTAGTGGTCTCGCTATCTTCTCTGTATTCATTCTTACTAATGTATTTCCTTAATAACGTCTTTTGTGTTATACGGTCTTCAAAGCAGCCATAATACTTTTATACGTCGAAGAAGTAATCCACGTTAGATGTTAACCGCGAGATGTGACTTCGAATTTAGCTAGTTCATCACATCATTCCCATCTAACTCGAGTAGGCTCTGATCATTCGACATTCATAATCTACGTTGGTGATCTACAACCTGATACTTTAACACTACCGAGATGACACAGCATTATGGAAAGTATCACTGATTTACATTAAAGCAGATAAAGGTGTACATTCGTCTCTGATAAAATTCTGATTATCACTTTGATTTAAACGACAAAACATTCAACAACATTAATAATCAATAACAAACTTACTTTTCTTTCCACTTTCCTTAATCCACTTGTTCATTTCTTCTCTTACACCTTCAACAAATTTCACACTTCCATTTCTATATAATTGAGAATTAGGACAGTTTTCCAACCATGTTGAACCGAGCTAAATATACAGATAGAGTAAAAGAAATGAGAACCGTTTATAAAGGGACAAACATTATCATTGAATTATCATTTGTAGACTTACGTTGGTTTGTGTTCCTTCTTCTTCTTCTTCAACAAAAAATGCAGCATTATCCAGGAGAATTCCATCTATTCCTTCTTTCATCCAAAAGTGGATCACATCCTATCGGTAATAATACAGTTTAATAAGTGGATTCATTGAAACATACAAATATTGCTTTCTGAGTTTCGGAAGAAGTTAAATCTAGATCTATGCTTGGATATTCAAAAACTGAATAGTATTTTGATGACTAATATTCACGTCCAATCGATTTCCATATCGTGACTTCTTTATGTAGATAAAGTGTAAAGAGACTATAGAACAATGAAAGTAGTTTTACCTTGTTCTTAAAGTCATCATCAAACAACGTCAGTTTGACTTTGTTCTGTATGATCCATTTATGACTGATGGATATCGCATTGAAATCGAATGTCAAGATAACTTTTATATCCTTTTTATGAAATTGTTTTAAAAGAATACGAAAATCAGCCATTGTACCGACTGCCTCATCTAACTGCTCGTAATCTTCCACTAATCCGAGCATATTGTATGAATTAGTGTAAAATCCTTTAGTAATGGGACCTAATATCACATATCCTGCACCGACTACAGTTTTGATGTAATCTACTTCAGATGTGAGTCCTATTAGGATAAAATCATCATTTGAGTGATAGAGGTTTTACACTAATACTCATTACCGTTTAGATCTCCGACTAAATCGCCAGAAGAGTCTTTAAATGCAAACACATCTAACCAGTAACCAACTGTTGATTTCCAAAATGGTAATTTGGGCACAGATGGACATTTTCTCCAACAATTATGTAAACAATACATGCTGCTAAAAGACCAAAAAATATAATCCCGAATCCAATTAATAATCCTATCAAATATATCTCCAACGAGGTTCAATTTTGTCTAAATTAATCAGATCTTCACGAGTGAGTAGACGATTCTCTAATTGAGATTGATGTTCAAGTAACTTTGACGAACAAATCGTTGGATCTTCTTGTTCTTCTTCTGTCAATGTCTTGTCAAAGTTCTTTGAATAATCATACTTTCTATATTCTTTATCAACACTGATTTTTGTAGTTGTTTCTTGTTTGATTCATTTTCCTTAATCAATTTCTATCATCTCAACTACTAAATTCTCATTTTTATATTACCGCAATATTATTAAATTGTGTTTAAATAAACTGATACAAATATTTTTTTTTTGTTTAAAAACTAAAATGAATGAACTGATATCCCGGGTTATTATTGATTGATTATGATTGGATTATTGATTTATGATTGATAAGTGGATTGTAATTTGATGTATAAAAAAAGGGGGAGACTGATATACATATTTTGAAAATTAAAAAAAATTTGATCAAGCTATAATGTATAGTAGCTCACATGCAATTCACTTTGTTTACATTTCATTTGGTTAAGCCCTTTTGTTAGCTTATTTAACGGATAGAATCATTCGTACAATAACAACTTATCTTAGATGATTGTACCTTTATTATTGTTGCACTTATATGAATAAGTATACTTAAGCATTGCTTACTGACTACGCATATGTTCATACTGCTAGCCTTACTATTAGTCGCTTAAATGATTTATTCATGGTCCACCAAAGTCGAATGGTGTCTGGTTTTCTGAACACCAATATATATATATGTACATTTTGATCCTGTTCATTATTTCGCTTGCTCTCTAGATTTTCGGCATTACTCTTTCATGCTTGCTTCGTATTCACCTTCTGATTAATACACCATTGAGGGGATTTTCTAATGACGATTATCAGGACGAACTGTATACAAAGTTTAAGGATTATGCTGAATATCGACCATTTTGAAAACAGCAAGCTTAATTTGTTTTCATCGCATCATCTCAATTATCCACATTTGAGGAGAATTTCGTCACATTCAGGAAAGTCATATTAGAAATTTTGGAGATTTACTGTGGGAAAATGGGATTAAAATGCCCCAAGTTTCCACTGAACTCTAGTTAGTCATTACATACCCTCATGTTTCCTCAGACTATAAGGAGAATCTCACAATCCTACAAATTTCCTCACATTTGAGAGATTCAGACATGTTTAGTGCCAATTACAAAATGATTGAAACGGTATGTAATATACAGAAACCCTTCATTGAAATGTTTTATTACAACAACATACATATGCAGTGATGATTGAAACTGACAGCTTAGTAATGGGAAATATTTATGTGCGAAAGCAATCAAAGCAATTCGGTTAATCAATCAAATATATGTGTGTCTGTATGGATGTAACCATTCTGAAAACAGTCATAACATGAATCAATTCTTCACAACAATTGTCAATCCATCTCCAGTTCTTAAGAGAGAAATTCGAACAGAGTTATCTCTAGATATCAATGCATTCATTTCTCTTATACCGACAGTTTCAGAGCTGTTATCATTCTCGTCGAGCACACGCTCCCTCCATATAACCTGAAGAAGAGATGTAAGCAATAGGGTATAAAATGACTCTGAAACAAAGATTGTGAATTAGGAAGAGTGAAATCTAAAAGCAACCAAAAGAAGACAACTCATCTGTTCATTAAGAAGTAGATTGTTCGATGAGAGTCACGTAGATGTTGCAGACACTGTGGTTAGAATCTATAAGATAATCAATATTCTTTGACAGATTATTATCAACAGTAAAACGGTAATCTTTCGATAGAACAATGAGAAGACGGAGTTGATCTGAAAAATGTGATGTATTTGCACTATACATTTCGAACAATCTGGTCACTCATATACTTGTCAGGTCATTTTATATGAAAATTAATAAAGGTCAGTTAAATAAAAGTTCAAGTAAAGTAACAAACGGGAGAGAAAGAGTAAGAAATTGTCGAGTTATCCTAGGCCATAGAGTGACTTAAGGATTACCAAGGTAAATTCAAGGTTACGACAAATTGTTTTTGCACACATAAGGGGGGGGGGTAAATTTACGAATAGCTAAGCCTTCAATAACCTGGGAATTCGTACTTGACAATTTCTATACAACGTTTTAAAAGCTGTATTGATGTTAATTTTTTGCCCGTCTCGATTATATGTTTCGCTACCGATGAACATGGTTTTCTACCTCCTACGTTTATCGGATCATTTGACACTAATTGGTTTTGAAGCTATCTAGGCACATGTTCAATGACCCTTGATTGTATTGTTCGATTACTCAACCTATGTATGTGTGTCCACACAAGCATGTTAATTTGTAAATACAATGGGATGTGACGCAATCAGTTGTGCATTGTCTAGGTCTATTTGGAATCATGGGCATAGACCTTTCAATCACAACCAATTGAGCAGCATAATAGGTTTTCTGATGGCCGCTTTCAACATCTGTCTTAAAACTATGCTGTTGGATTCGCCTCGATATGTTAGATGGATATAAACTTTCTTCTTTGGAACTAAATAAACAAGAGGTCTTGGTATTAACTGACTTTAGCACCTATTAATGAACTTTAGTGGATAACCATTTGCTATTAATGTGTCAGTCAGTAACTTTTCATCTTTTTCCACCATGTCAGAGGTACATTAGCTGTACATAATAAGAGTAATTCTTTCAAAAATGGTAACGGAATAGGAAAAAGAGGAAAGTTTTTTTGAAATATAGTCACAAAGGAAATCCACCGTCTTTGTTAATGGTACATTCGTGAAGAGGGAGTTTACATCAAATGAATGCAAAGATTTATCTTTAATATTAGTGTCACCAAGAAGGTCAATTAGTTCAAATGTATCTTTTAAAGAGAACTTACAGAGATTAGTACGAATTGTGTTTAACAGTTTTTACTAACCATTTAGCTAGCTCGTGTGTGGAGAACCACGCATAGACAAAATTGGCCGTAATGGAATATTAGGTTTATGAATTTTAGGTAATCCATAAAAATTCGGGAGAACTGAAACCGAAGTTTTAGTGTATTAAACTCCTCGTTGTTTATGAAGTTCATTTTAAGAAGCTTTAATAGATTGAACTTCACTCTGGATTCCATTTTTCTAACATTAATATTAGATGAAACGTCCTGTAAGAATTTACTTTGGTCACCCAGTAAAGATAACATTTATTCTTTATATTCACATTCATTGATAACGACGTAATCATTCAAATAACAGGAATCATTTGAAGGCACAATTCAGTAATGTATGGTTAGGACTATTATCACAAACCAAATTACAATTCCCTCTACGCAATAACTCCCAATCAGTGATCTAAGATAAATTATTTATATATTATATATATATATATATATATATATATATATATATATATATATATATATATATATATATGTGATAATCTCATTCAATGCAGTTTGAAAAAGAGGGCCATCATTCGGCAGAAGGTGTACAACTACAGTCATTTTTTATTATAATATTGCTTCACACTTCATCGAATATGTGGAATATTTCCTGGAGAATTCATGAAGTGTTGAAGCACTTTTAAGAGCGAGATATTTTCACACAGAAGGTTCATTAATAGTCATTAAAAGATCAATTCGTCATGAAAGTTGACTTCAAATGTATTGGGATACATAGAACATATGCTCGTAAATAAAACAAACTTACATTATCGATGGCGATGATTCCACGAGGTCGTACTAGTTTTAAACATAGTTCATAATAATTACTATAGTTTTCTTTATCAGCATCGATCAGGGCGAAATCGAATGTTTCACTCTCTCCATTATCAATCAAAGTTTCTGGTGGCACAACAGTTCAATTAAAATATATGTAGTTCAGTTACCAAATCAATGAATAGTTTAGGACAAACCTGTTATCAAACTGAACGTACTTACATACACCCAACTGTTATCGAATACTAACTGAATAAATATATATGCCGGCACAGTGGTCTAGAGTTTAATAATTCGTGCACGAGACTGAGAGTCCCGGGTCCGAGTCCTTCATGGAGGATCGTGAGTACGCACTTCTGAGGAGTCTCATACTCCTTCCAGTTTTTCACTGATGGTCTAACATCTATCGATTCGTGACTTCAATCAGAATGAAATACTTTTTCCATACCTCCGATCCACTTACACACAATATTTACAGTCTGTTTTCTTAACACACGTTTCGTCACACACGTTACATGTATCTAATACACACTATAGCAGATACTTCCTTCAACTTTCATTAATATGACTGAATGATCTATTAGGCATACAGTTTTTCGAGCGAAACATCGGACTCGATCACAGGGACTTTACCAATATATGCCTCCTCTTCAATGTCATGCATTATCTCGTTGCACAAATACTGTTTATCCATTCGTTCAAATTTAGACGGAAATTCTCATATAATTTGAAATGATTTCAAAAAGTGTAATGCAATCTCAACAAGACCTGATAATGTTGTCTAGTGCAAAAATATTAGCTTCCCGCATGCATCATGTACATTATAGGATGGATCTTCACCAATCACAGCAATAATGCACTTAGAACTAATGCACATACAGATTCAGTAAACTGGTCAGCATTTGTTAATGGTCTGTACAAGTGGTTAACTAAGACAGTCCTTCAATATTTAAGTGATTTCGATCACTCCACTAATGCTTCTTTTTCAGAAGATTACTTGTAGATCCCGTCAACATCAACCAACATTTTGTTATTTTCAACTATCTTAAACAGAAATGTAGCATGAATTCTCCATATATTATCTTTTCCCAAAATCAGTCAGATAGTATTGCTGACACCAGAGTACACATCACCAACCAAAAATAAAATGCTTATCTTCACGGACATTCTATGTCGAAACACTGAATGTTCATCTGTGTTTTGTATTTCTTGAAAACTATATACCACACCATATGATCAGACTTACGTAGAGTATCAACAGCTGGACCGAGTCGGAAGTCAATTTTCGATTCTACACCTGCTTTCTTCCATACTGGTAAACAATAGTCTTTCAAATATTCATCTGTTATATCCAAGGCTACTACATGTCCATCTGTTGGCAATACTTCCGCGACAGACAATGCACTATATCCAGTATAAACTCCTATATTCATTTTAAAATAACATATGGAAACATATCTGTTGATAATGACTCGTCGTTTAACTGATGTACAGTGATCAATCAAAAAACAGTAAAATTATCACACTAACATCTTCCAAACTCGTTTAGATAGCACTGTCACCTAACAAAACAACTATTAGCTTAACAAATATATATGAAACCAACTATTCCTGAACCAAACAACACAAAAGTTCGTGAACGTCAAAAATCCCAGACATAATTGACTATCGTTAGTAAGGTTTCTATTCATTTCATCAACCACATTCATAATCAACAGGCCTGTGATTTGGAAGGAAAGTTCACAGTTTCAGGATTAGACTACCGGTGTGGTATTTGAATGCACATGAAGTAGTTGGATGTAAATTTAGTTCATCTAAATACTTTGATATTCGCATTCAGTACACAATAGAATGCGTTTATGTAGAGCCAGATTTATGAACTACTTAACACTTCGTTACACGTTTCAGAATACTCATTATTTATTTATGTAAATAATACAGTGTCCGATTTCTCACACTTCCACGTAAACAATCATTTCTCTCAAGAGATTGACTACGCTTATGTGGGACGATGCAAATATGTCGGATTTCACTACCAGTTATCATACAACTCTATTCAGAACAGGTGACTGAATGACGATATTGATGTAAACTGTTCACAATATGTTAAAACCAGACTGATCAATTACAACACTCAACATCAACAACGACTAAATGAAAACTATTTCAAAATAAAATTCACAAACGTCGAACAAGCTACTGACTATTTGGTCCCAATTCATCAGTGGATCACATATTGATGCTTGAAACGGAAGCCACTAGCTTTGAATTACCATGCGAATACCGATAACACCATGCAAATGCATCCATCTGACGAGTCTCAAATGCAATGAGATCAGTGTCCCAGTTTCCACTTCCAGACCAATATGCAATTCAACTACGAATGTGTTGTTGATATATGGTATCAACATAGTTGCTTCAAGGTAATTCTCTCAGTCATTCGACTCTATCCGAATAGACAATGATAATCAGTCAGTACTGGATGACTGTATCCTCCTACTTCTTGAACTCTCCTTCCTTCCATTTCTGCCTCTCCATACATGATTTGTGCATCCACGAATTTCATAACCACTCTGAAATGTAATACTCGCTGCAGTAAGACGAAAGATGGAATAGAGCATCTGATCTCCTTAATCGTCTTCATTTGGTAGAGATAATAAACAATGTTCTACAAATAACAGACGGATGATTTCAACGCTGACTCATTTAATGTTGCCGTAAACCATGAAACGAAGTCAGACATAATAGCCACATTCGGTTTATAAAATTTCTACTTAGATCTACCTATGCAGTTAATTTAAATGATTAGTTAAATGCAAACTAGTACATTTCATTTACTTCGTGAAAGCTGAGAACTTGTTCGAGAAGCAATGA